GTCGGTCTTAGTCACTAACAAGACTACAAGATCACGCCACTCATTCTACACTCATCTCTATTCATACTTGGCTTAAAATACCTACTTTATATGGTCGCCATTTCATTGAAAAAGTATTAAAAAAAGTTATATCAAATAGTAATACGTAGCTAACTAACGACATTTTATCAAGCATCCAAATTAAATGTAGCCTATTTTTGTTGCTGTTGACTCGAGTTGTTCTGTTAAAGAATATAAACTGAAAAATATCGAACAAAGGATTTATTTATAAATGTGAAAACATAATTGTATTTGATTGGTTCTGTATCTTAATGACGCATTTATTTAAATTTAAGGCCAAATTATAATTGAACTATTCAGGCTTAGATGGAATTCGAGACTAGTTTTTGACGAAACAAGAACTAAATACAGGTTAAAAAGCCTATGCCTATAGCTTCTAAACAAATATATTTACGTTCAACACTTTTCAAAACTGAATAATTTGTAAAAAAAATTACAACTGTTACTCAAAACACGTGTTGAATTTGACGAGAATGTTTTCTTAGAGATATTTTTCAGGGATCCTGAGAAAACCTTTTACCCGGATCAATCTTGAGAGTTTTGTCCTCAAAGTGAGAGTGAAAGTGAGATGTGTGTTGGTGACAGCTAACTTTACTTGGGTAAACGAGTTTTAAATTAAACATCAACCTTCGTAAAAACCATTGTTTAGAATAAATAAACACCAAAGACTTGGAACCAATTCTAATTCTGTACAATGTTTTCTTGAATCTTTGACTAATATTGATTCATTTTATCATATAATGTAAACAGGATTGCAATAATAGGTTAGTTTTTTGTTGTGTTTGTGCAACAAAAATGAAAGTGTTCAAGGATAGGAATTGAGATAAGAAAATAAAAATTAAATTAAATTAAAATAAAATGAAAAATAAAATGAAAAATTACTTATCCTGTAAAATTGCGTTATTGAAATAATTTAAATGCTTAGAGATTTCGTAGAAGTGGCAATTAAAAGTGTTAGTAGTGGACTGATGCGTTCAAATATCAAATATAGTAACTCTTAGGTCCTTTAAATTAAAATAGTAAAAAATTATGTGTGTTTTTTTCACTCCCAGCAGAACGAGAAATATTCACGATTAAAAAGTGGAATGAACAGTAAATGACTTATTTGCTGTGTGTAACGCTCCAACTCCTCCACCAAGAGTTGACTACTTTTCTGACTCATTTAAATAGGAGCATATTTATATTACATAGCCTATGTACCAATAAATGGATTAACATTTTTTATTACACAATGGCTTCAGTTTAGAACCCAAAAACCAACACTATAAGAACTTTGCTTTCATTTCCACAATTTACAACAACTTAAAAACATGTATTTTTTCTACCACTGCATGGAAATGATCCCATTGCCATACCTGTAAAAAGTATGCAAAATAACTCATTGCTGCTCTAGAGCGGGAACGGACCATTCCTGCTCGCTAATCCTTGATACACAAATAGCTATTTGCGATTAATAGATTCTTGTAGTTACTTTATCCTCATCAAAGACCACTATCCTGATAAAAAAGAGATGTTCTAAAACAAATTCTAAGAATATAAACACTTCAATATTCAATATTAAATAAACAAAATTAAAATGCACTCTTAAGATAACCTTTAAAACTCACGGCGTAAATGACGGTAAACCTATCGTCCGAGTTTAGAACTAACAGCGTTAAACCACAAAGAGTGAATCTATCACAGTTAAACGAGCAAGTAAACAACATCGTCGTCGTCAAAGGGAGGCAATATGGCGGATTTGATCCTGTTTGAGGCTGCGATCAAAACACTCGGCTTGATCTGGGAGAAATTAAACATTGGCTTTGCCTCGTTTATGTATTGGTTTTGGCAATCTGTGCAATATTTAAATTCTATAAAGGGATTTTAATTTATTGTATATTTTGGGAAGAATGTAATTTTGATCTTATTATGAATCGGTTGGTCAGTTGGTTTGATTTTTTGATAGGTAACAATATATTCTCGTCTACTTTGTACATTAGCATTTGGAGCTATTAAAAAATTAAAGATTAAATTAAGTTGGGGGTAATTTGAACGGAAGAAATCCCGAACGCATTTTAGTTTGTGTAAGCAAATGGAAATTAAACATTATTTCCAGACATAAACTCAGCAAATTAGATCTTAAGTTTACATTTCTCCAGTTACTTTAGATTTTCAGTTACTGACCTTAAAACCTAAACTTTCTGGAGAAATCCGGGGAAGATTTTATCATGGATTCAGCTCTTTTCTAACTGACGTACTAACCTGCTATGCTTCCTAGCTATTTTTTGTTGCAAAATATTATTTAGACCTGAAAGAGCCAAGTGTACCTTCCACCATTTAATTGACATTTCACTACTAAAATATTGTATAATCATCCCAGACGTTTATAAAGACACGATATGAAAAATATGCCATACTCATTATCTCATTAATACTACATTTCAACCACTTGTTCCATGTGGTTGTTCTATTTTGCTGAAACTCAGTTTATAAACTAAGTAAATGATATGATAAACTCATGAAGAAAAATAATTGTATTTGTGATAGATAAATGTGGATAGGAAATAAAGATAACACATTAATCCTAATCTGGAGTTGTAAATGAATACTCCTTAAAAACAGAATGAAAAACTTTTAATAACTTCTGCGCTTGCAGAACCACTATAATGTGGGAACATGCAAAACGACCAATTACTTACAGTTGATCGCACATTTTGTCAAATTAAAGTTCACATGTTACAAATTGTTTTAACAACTGTGACCATAACGTGCAAATCGCAACTCCAATGAAACCTGACCAAAGCCGTATTTTCCCTGACGAGCAACGATATCAAAACAATCCGAACTGAGTTATGCTTGACCACAGAAAGTTTACCGAGTTATGTACAATATGGCGACATTAATGGTAGTTTAGACTTTGCAAACACGCTACCTCTATCATAGATTAGCGTTGGTAACAGTTATATCAGCTATTCGCACTTATATGATATTTATGAGTGAGAGTTAAACTTACCTGGTGTCAAAGTATGATACACTGGCGTTCTAGATAACACTAAGGTATGCTGTAAGTATACTTCTCAATCTGGTAAAATTTGTAACTACATTTTATCTATTTCAGTTATTTACGTTTGAGTTTACTAATGTCGATAATATTTGTAGAATTAATTTAAATTAAGTGTCTTTGGAGTACAATACCATAGGATAAACAATACTATCTTGAACCCAGATGTATTTGGTAAACATAGGTAATATCTTTAGAAAATTACAAAAGATTTTTGTGGTTGACGACCAAATACTTTATGCAGAAATATTGGACAAAAATCTATATTATTAATACGCTACATGAAACTTTGTGAACAATAAGGATTTTTTGTTTTAAGATTTAACCCCACATATGATAATGCCAAAATGTTTGACTAGGTGTGTAGATTTACAAACTGACCTTACATTTTTTAAAGTCCCTTGGGCTCTGCCCTAGTGGCTTTTAGAGTTACCATGTTATCCTTATGAAGAACATATTTGTTTACATTATGATCAGCTGGATAATATAATTGGTGTTAATATTTTAGCTACAATTTAATGATGTGTGCTACAAATCATTTACTGACTTGGTTGAAATTGAATATTTTTCTACTTATTATAATGGAAATAAACGGTATCAGCATCCTGACACAAAATACTTTCTCCCATAAGCTCGTCAACAACCTTTATCATGGGTAAGCGGTGAGAGTAAATATGATATTTTATAGTTAAAAATCACAAAAGATGCAATAACTTTTGAAACGTAATTGTTACGCAATGGGGTGTTGTACTATTTTTTTGTTATTTTATGGTTTTTATGGGAAAGTAACATAAGTTACAATAACTTTTGAACCGTATTTTTTACATAAATGGGATTTGTAACATTTTGTTCAGAAGTTAAGGGACTATAACATTCTAAATTGTTTAGAAAATCGTTCGGGTCATTTTCGAGAAAAACATATTTTTCCGTTATTTTATGGGGTTTTATGAGAAGATCCCCATTAAAAATCAAAATTTAAAAACAATTTTAATAACTTTCAAAATTTTAAGGACCATAAAACACTTACTTAAATCAAAACCGACATTTTTCCACAATCCTATTTTTCGTTATTTTTGGGGGTTTTATGGGAAAATAACATAATTTACAATAACCTTTTAACCATAATTTTTACAGAAATGGCAGTTCTACCATTTGTTTAGAATTTGTTCAGATTTTGCTCAGAATTTAAAGGGCTACATCATACTAATTTTTTTTATTAAAATTGTTAGAGCCATTTTTAAAAAAATCCGAAAATAGAGATAGAAAAGAAGAATACTCAAAAACACAGTGAAACATTCTCACCGGCTATTTGCATGAGCCAGATTTACAAGGCGTAGCAGGATATGAAACCTACTTTCTCTTCCATCAAGCATTCTAATATTTCTCTACTCTTTTAGAGCATCGCCAAAGTATTACAGTACTAAGAACTGATAAGGAATATGTTGCTATAACATTCTCAATGGTGAATCACATTATTTTTAGGGCTTGGCTACCTATATTTTATTGCAAACATTATTTTTGGAGATGTAACTTTATAACACCAAGATGTCACAGAATTGCATTGGTTACATATGGAGTCTAAACCGTTTTTAGGCAAAAACAACCTAGAAAATGGTCAGAATCGTACACGAACCGGGGATGGCTATGAAACACAATAGGTTTGAATTTCCTAAGGACAAATTTTTAGGAAAGTCGAATGAAGAATAAATTTGAAAGAAACAATTATAAATGGGAAAAATGAATCAATGCTGTTCACTCAAAACACAATAGCAAAACTTACTAAGAATTTACATTTTCGAGGTGTGAGAAATGCCAATTATATTAAACAGTCTGATAGTAGCAAATATACAACATGATAATCATTTTGGTTCTCGCTATCAGAGACTGAGATTGTCATTGGTCATGACCTATTTTTAGTGAATACCAAAACAAAATGTAAGTTAAAAAAGAAAATTTGATTTCTTTAGTGCTTGTAAAAATACTAACGGTTAGTGGTCTACTTGCTTTAAATTACTATTAGTGAAATGCAATCTGAGGTATGTTTGATTTTAATGTCTTAAATCATCGTCTGTTAAAGTAAAATATAGCTTTACCTACGACAGTTTTTTTTTTAACTAACCGTTTCAGTTCAGTTCTTAGAATTGAAAAGATTAACTTAAGCATTGTTTACTTACTTAAAAGCACTGTCCTTAACAATACGGGTAATGGACGAATGAGGTTCAAGGATTGGGAGAAAAGAAGTAAAATTATAATAATTCGAACGTCAACTTGTCAGCTGTTAAGACCAATTTAATTGATCAAACAATGAGTGAGTGGTTGGGCCAATAAGTCGTTGAATCGCAATCAGTAACAAGGTTATAAATGAAAACATAACCTCTCTTGGAAGTTATGAGGAGTGATTTTTTTTTAATTTGGAAACGGTCGTAGATAAATTAGTGTAGTAAATTTAATACAAAAAACAATTCAACTTCACTGAACAATTTCTACGTAACAACCATCCCTTTTCATCGTAAACAAATTATTTTTGGGGTTACGGAAAAAAGAGGAAATTACCTCTTTATATCAATCAAAATACACAACATGCAATATGCAATCCCGCAATATGCAATATGCAATATTTCACTCCTTAGGTAGGTCTGTTGCATTTTGTTGTATTGGTGTAAATACGTCTTTGCTTATTTTTCTCACAAAAAAGAACACTTACTTCTCAAATTATTTCCTTTTTTCAAACGCTGTATTACGTTTCTTTTAATTTGATGACCAAAAGTTAGATTTTTTTTTACTTTTGAGGGTTTTATCACAGACATGTCAGAAATATATAAATTTCAATCGTTGATAAGTACAAAACACCAGTTGGAATGTTTAATATTACCTCTAAACAAAGGTTTTGAAAACACTTAAATACAACTACAGTATACGCATTTACTACTTGATATTAAGAAGAAATATTGCATCTTACTATAGTCAAAAGCCCATTTTAAATTCGCTTATTTAACGATATACATATATACAACCATCTACGTGCGCTCACAATGATCTACTTAATCTCTTATAAAATGTAATTTTATATTTTATCATAAGTCATTACAACCTGAAGCCTGTGTGAACAGCACTTTTTGAGAACATAGACCTAAACTTCTATAAGAGCAACATGACAAACATTACCTATCTATACCGTTCTACTCCCCTCATTACAGAAATGGAAGCAGACATGCATAGATCTTTTCCGCATGGTGTCGAGGGAAGACTGGGGGGCTTCGCCTCCCAAGTGGGAGATGCCCGAGCAGTCAACCCCGCAAGAATCGTTCTACACCACCTTCGCTAAGACTTATTGGTGCAAGCACGACGAAGACTGTCGGAAGATTGTACATGACCTTCAACAGAAACACATGGATGAAGGCCACCCTGATATTCAGTACAAGTGAGCATCCTGTTTCTTTACTTACTCTTACTTACTCTTGTGGCCATTGAAAACCAAGGCGGTCTTTGGCCTCGACAACCATGTGCCTCCAGGGTCGTCTGTCCTCTGCCAGCTCCAGGTCTGCTCCCATTCTTCTTATGTCCTTTGTAACCTCGTCAATCCATCTCATCCTTGGCCTTCCCAATGGTCTCCTTCCTGTTTCTTTTACCTACTCTTACTCCTGAGGCCATTGAAAACCAAGGCGGTCTTTGGCCTCGCCAACCATGTAACTCCAGGATCCTCTGTCTTCTGCCAGCTAAAGGTCTGCTCTCATACTCCTTAGGTACTTTGTAACCTCGTCAATCTATCTCATCCTTGGCCTTCCCAATTGTCTCCTTCCTGTTTCTTTTACATGTATTTAAAAAGTTCATGATGCCCATGATTTCCTTAGAAGATTGACAGTGAAATTTGAAAAGTAAGTATTCGTATGGAAACGAAACTAACGATTTGACAGCATACTCAATAGCATTTTGTGTTTCAAGATATTTTCAAGTTCTAAGATCTTCCAATGGCTTTCACAGTAATAATGGGTTAACTCTGAAATATGTCATTGAAATATAAAAATTTGCGCATTTCAAACTAAGTTATTAAAGTTGTAACAAAAATATACCTTCCCTCTAACAGCAAACCTAAGCACTTATGAAGAAAACAAATCTTAAGATTTCAAACGAATATTTTAGTTGAACAGCAACCAGTTAAATGAAAATTCGTTAAGTTGACAGGTTTGCTGTGGTGGGGGTGGGGATTGTTTTTTATTTATTTATTTATTTATTCATTCAACGGTAACACCATTTTTACATTAGAATATACATTAAATAGGATTAAATCACTTAATAACATAGCATAATTAGGTAATAAATATGAGCAATAATAGAATAAATTAAAAAGCAGACATGACATGCAAAATACATAACCAGTATAAAAGAAAACAAAAATACATTCATAGGCTGAAACATTTCTAGTATTAGGCATACAAAGACATAGCAAATTTGGTACAGGCTACTAAAATACGTGCAATTGATAAGAATGAAAATGGGAAGCAGGCATAAGATGCAAAAGACATAATAATATGGCGCAAAAGATAACAACAATAGGTAAAATATGAAGTGCAAAAACATAACAACAACAATATTTAACAATATGCAACCGAGACATTATTGCATGTAACAAGGTTGTATTAATGTCTATCTTTAACACAAATGTTTCCATAGTTTCCTAGTCGGAGGTGACGGGAATGTCTATGAAGGAGCCGGGTGGAATTACACCACTGTGGATTTATCCAGACCGGAGTTTAACAGATATCCAAAAGTTATAATAGCAACTCTTGGAAGACCCACAGGTATTCAAGCCACTTATATAGAAAATATGTATAATGGTAATTGATAATAATACATTTCTACATTACAATTCCAAATGGGGAGCGAAGTGGTCTAATAGTAGAGCATGGAACTTCGGTGTCCAAGGTGCCGGGCACAATCCCACCAATTACCAATGGAGTTTATCTAAGTAATAAATGCCGCGACCCCTCTGGACCTAGCCTGAAGACTGTGGAAGACAATTCCGGTCTAGAAATGTAGAGGAATTAAAAAAATGCAATACCACATACAATGCATAAAATAGATAGGAACAAACATGCAGTATTAGTATATTTCTTAATAAATAATTGCCATAGATAAAACACAGGGGTAAACGCTAATGTTTTCCCCTTTTCTACTATTGTCTACTATTGTTGCATTTCTTTGTATACCGGTACACATTTTACTGTAGGTATCTAAAAATCTCTTAATAGGCAACAAATAAAATTGAGCAATCAGTGCATAGAGTTAGGTTCAATTTAATTGTAATGTTTGATACGATTTCGTTTAAGGGTTTATTTACGCTGATCATACATTTACTACCAGAGCCATGCATGGCCGCACCAACAAATCAAATTATGCAACTAATATGCGTTCTGCCCGAATTTTTTGTTTGTTTTAACTTTCTTAGTTATTTTGTTTACAATCTGTATAGCTGCCTCTCATGCACACCAATCCAAAAATGACACATAGTCATTTTCTTGTTATGTTTCAGAATCTAGATACATGAGAAGAACTGTAAGGACCGTGGACAGATTTATTTCGTATGGAGTGGCCAAGAAAATGTTGTTACCTGGTAGAAAATTCAAATACACCGCAATTGGTTGAAAACAAAGAGGAAATTGTTTGTATAATATTGTAAAAAAAATTTCAATACAGTATCGACTGTTTTATTCCTGATAATATATATTTTTTATTTAGGATATTGGCAAAACCTCCCTTTCTTTGAAACTAAAAACATATAAACAATGAAACATATAAACATGAAAACAATGAACATATTATGTAATTTAAATAGTAACCAAAATATGACTTGGCAATTACAGTATTGAGAATCCCTCATTACCTGAAAAAAAAACATTGAAAATCAAAGTTATAACAATTTGTTGAACATGAAAAAACAAAAGAATTAGGAATGTTTTCGTAAAGTCATGGATATATTAGAAAATGTTCATAAATAATTTATCTCTTAAATGCAATATTGGTAAAGCTCCAATTACTATCCCACCAGCTTGCAAGTCCAAGACACACAATATCAAAAATGTTTACATTTTTTTATACAAACATTTTTGCTAATTAACTTCCTAACTAAAATTGTATTAGCCTATTTACATGTTAAACTGCTTTGGATTTAGATTACAGATTCATTGGATACAGGATCTTTTATCTAGGATTTACTTTGTGAAAACTTATGCCTTTTAGAGATCTTAAATTAAATTTACAATGCATCTGGAAACAAGGTAATCTGCTAGTTTATAAGTAATATTTTAAGTTACAAATTCACTTCTCAATATGTTTGATCTTTAAAATCTTTTCATTCTGATTTATTAACATAGAACAACAGTGAAACAATAGTTGTTTAAACAAGACATACCAATATTAGTGTAAACTTCTGGTAACTTGTGATAAAAGCATGATTAGATAAAGGTTTACTAGAGAACGTATATTGAAATATAGTTAGTTATTTGTGTTTTTACTCTTTGGAACTGTAGGGTTATGTATGGGTTGTTTGCAAGCTCAACAAGCTAGTTTTCACAAATAAAAAACTCTAAGATACAAATACGAAAACATGACTATTATAACATAGCCTTAAACAATGAACACATAAGGTATGTAAAATTACACTCAATACATTATATGAGTTTTTCCTTCGGGGAATCTTGATTACAATACTGCTTTGTTTATGATTTTGTTTTGGGTTGATTTATCTTGATACAATATCAAAACTGAGTTTTCGTAATATCGTTGAAGAGGAGAAAAGGGTATTAAAATTAGCCATTTTAAAACTAGTCCCAAAAATCATAGAAACTATTTGGTGACATCAGTGTTATCGAGCGTAATGGAATCATACATGACAGTAGGTTAAATATTTAACCATGATGCCTGTAATGTAGTATTGTTATCTGAATAAATAATTAAATAAGTCCATGTTCCAGCTTCTCATGTATTGATTTTGTATTTACGTTTTTTAATGTTAAATATGCTCTATCTTAAACCAGAAATAATATCACTCCTATAAAATTAAAAATATTGTAATACAGTATGAATCAATGACTTAACAATCAAATCCAATAAATATGGAAGACGATTTTGCTTTAGTAAAATACCAAAGTGGTTCAGTAATTTTAAAATAATTGTGTGAATAAAAAATGTTAGTGCTTAATCAAAACTTTTTACCACTGAACTGTATTTCACAATGTATTTCATATTGTGAAAATGGGGCTGATTTTCTATAATTGTAAACCTGTTAAACTACTTTTTCAGGTAGTGATAGTGTTTTTCTGACCGCAGGCGAAGCCCCCTTAGAGGTACCAAACCCCTACACCGAACTGAGATTTGACATCGTGAAATAGGAGATAATTTTCCACCATTTTAAAATACATATGCAAATTTTTTCACATAGAAATGGTGTTTTTCCTGACCACTAGAGAAGAATGGGGGGCTCTCAGCCCCCTCGAGCCGCCGATCCCCCTAAAACTACCTGTGAGGGACATTGTTTTAACCTATGTGAGGAACTGGAGTGGTTATATTGAGGATGACCACATAGACTACACTGGTCAAGTCCAGGCTCTACAACGACGACAAATAGAGGAGAAAAAACTGAGCGATATTAAATACAAGTAAGGTAATAAAAAAAGTTAAATAACTTCTTGATCAGCATCGTGCGTGTTATTAAATTACCTGAAAGCACAAAAATTACGTCAAAGAACACATATAATAATATATTTACACTTATACTGTTTACTAACAAGAGGGTAAATACATACAAATGATGGTAAGTGGGGATCGATTTCGATTGGACCAATAAGCTACGATAGCCAATAGTATACAAGCGACACCATTGAGATTATTGTCGATGCCTATTGGGTCTGATGATGATTGGAGTATCCAATCGAAATCGATCACTACTTACAATCTATATGCATTTACCGTCTTGTGAGTAAACAGTATAAGTGCAAACATATCATTATAAGTGATATTTGACGTATTTTTTGTACTTTCAGGAAAAGTTAAGTAGGTAAAGAAGAAAGCTCGCTATAAGAAAGCTGAGAATACTCGCCAAGTTAACGAGTTAGTAGGCCCGGAGTTAGTTTACTAAATCTTTACCGTATGGTAAATCGAGGTGTATTCACACGGTTACTTTATCATCCTATTTTTTAAATCGTTTGTATCATGCATGCCAGGTTGACAGCATGTGCTATACACCGAACATCTAGAAAATACCAAACTGACTTTAAATCGATGAAATATTTCAATAACCCATCAGTTTTTTTAAGTATTGAATCCAGTCCAAATGTCAGAATATCTTTCCTATCTGTAAACTCAACCTTATTGTGTTCCCAGTTTCTTAGTGACGCCCCAAGGACAGACCTACGAGTGTCGAGGATGGCATGGAGCTGTTCCTGCACCTAAACACAGACCCGAGTGGTCCAACAACGTATTGGTGATAGCTCAACTAAACTGGAGAGTCGGTGAGAACAATATAGTCTGTAGGATGGGACCTGTCTCCAGACCCTCCAGACCCACCGTCTACCTGGGGACTTGCCAATGGTATAAGGCCCGTACTCCCCATGTAGAGAGAGTGCCAGGAGCCAAGTTCTATCACACAGAATATTGTTACTATTGCTTTAACGATAACCTAGTGCCTTATAGTATAAGAATATGCCCACACACCTTTAAGATAAAATACGTTGCCTTACGTTGGATCTTGTTTAAGATCTCACACCTAAAATATATCCTAGGATTAAATGTTTTAAATGTATCCTGAGATCTTATAACTTTCGAGGAAGATCATTAACAGGAATCTGTTTAATAGTCAAAGGTTTTAGATTACCTAAGAGTATACGCGTTTTACTTAATCCCTTATTACATAACTTATATAATCTATAACTTAGAGTTACATAGGATCTCATACCAAACCATAGTTTACCTTAATACCTTATTCTGTAATGTAATAAAAGTTAACATTGAGGGTAGCCTGAGATGTTATCTGTCAGTGAAAACTTCAGATCTTATAGGCTCAAGATTACGTTACATTTAAATCGGTAGCCAAACTAATCAAGTTAAACAATCAAAACCACTTTCAATATTAGATGTCAATGCTAGGTAGTCACAGTCGACAATTGTTATTGTTGGTCAACATTGTAGTTAACATTTAACTAATTTCATAATAATTTTGAGTTTAATTTGTTTATATTAGGAAAATTGTTATACTCGAATGATGCACTGTTTACACTATAAATTTATACTAGTGTACCTGTTGCTCGAATTCGAGCAATTGCGAAGCATTACATAATTATGGAAATACTCACAATCTACACAATAGTTAGATATAATCAAAATATTTTGTAAATATCTTATCTTTTTTCAAAAAGTTGATCTTGTTTTTTTTAGTGTTTTTAGTGTAAAAAAACAGTACATTTATATTTCTTCTACTTGGTGGTGTTTTATGACTTTTTCTATGTTTCCATTGTTTGCAAATCGGTTATTTCAATGATTGCTCAAGAAATGTAGCACAGAGTTAATTCAGTTTTATTTTTAGCCTATATCAAATTGTCCAGGATTTCTCGCTCTTTTCCATTATAATTATTACACCAACCCAAGTTTCGTCTTCAGATGCAATATGCCAAAGAATGTCACCTACAAATCTCCAAGAAGTGGTAAAAAAGGCAGAAACCAACCCATACAATAGATATAAGTTAACTACATAAGAAATCATTTTAAAAGTTACTGTGATATTAGGATTTTCCACTGATTTGGTAATAGAACATTATATTACAAAACATGACAGGATGCAAAAGAAAATCAATTTTAAAATCAGAAAAATCCATTGCAAATAAGGTAAATGCACCAGTAGCTGACAGTGCTCCAGAAGCTGACAGTTTGAGTTTCTTAACATTATAATGTGGTCTCTTAAAAATATTTACACATGATTGCATTGTTAGAAGAACATATGTTTATTCTTGATTTGTTCACAAAAAATTCAGTGAAATTTAGCCCATACTCGCTGAATGGTGGTGGTTTGAAAGCGACCCTGTCTGTACATATCACATTAAGTCGATTCCCTTAATGAAATTGTTAAGAAAGTAAGTTTGGTTTTTTGTCATTTTGCTAAATTTCTTAAATAGTACTAATGATTAGGCTCATTATTTTTATCAATTATACCTTTGTTGACAATTTCATGATAAAATTGGGGGGGTTAGGGGTTTTGGATTTAAAATTATATCAATGTCAGGCTTTGGTACACAAAAGCCATACAAGTTCCACTAGCTGACAGGGGGATATTTGCTGCTTGCACAATATTAAATTGGTTTTACCCATCGAAATTTGCATGCTATTTATAATTTATGCGATCTCATATTTTTATAAAATGATTTAAATTTTTGCTAAATAAGCCAAATTATCTTAAAAAAATTATTTTTTGTTAAATATATATTTTTTTTAATGTAAATATTTTTTATTTTAAAATATATCAAATAAATTTTCTTAATAACGTTTTACATAATTTTATAATTTAATTATTAAGTTAGATTTTATTCGTCTTATAAATTATAAAACCCTTAGGTTTAGCAGCTATATAGTAGGCCCTATATAGTACATTTATAGTTCCAGTGTCAGCTACTGGGACAACTGACAGTCAGCTACTGGTACAAGCACTTTTTTCACTGTCAGCCACTGGAACACGTACAAAGGTTGAATTAAGTTTAAAAATTTTATAAAATATATTTAAAAACCCCTTTTTGTATGACAAATTTGAAAACTACACTAAATTTAGAATCACATAACATCCGTAATATCTCTTTAGTTCCTTTTTATTCAAAACCACGGATTATTAAGTGCGTATAGTTTCTTATACTGTCAGCTACTGGTGCGTTTACCTTACTGTACTTCATTTTGACAAATTCAATAAATCACAATTTAAATATTAACAGCTGTTGCATTAAAAAGTAGTGTAGAATTATGCATATGGTCGTAATGTAAACAAATCTGAAGAGGCAACTTTAAAGGCTTCTGGGGCAGAGCACCAAGGGAATTTACCTCTTTCCTCTTTTGATGGCTCATCTACAGACCAAGACCTTTCTTTAGAGACCCCTACCAAGTTTCTACGCCCAGCCGTTCTCTCAAATTAGCTGTGACAAAAAACCCCGTTTTCCTCCATAAGAATAACATGGGATGGGAATTTAAAGGCCACGGGGGCAGAGCCCCAAGGGAATTCACCATGTTTCTCTTTTGATGGCTCATCTACAAACCAAGACCTTTCTTTAGACACCTCTACCGAGTTTCTACGCCCAGCCGTTCTCTCAAAATAGCTGTGACAAAGAAAAACAGTTTCAAATTAATATATAGATTTTTAAGATGAATATTTAAAAGAAACTGGTTTTATATTGAAACTACTCTGTTTACGATGCCTGAGGAAAACACCGAAAATATTAGAACCAAATGTGTGGACAAATTTGGCAAAGGGGTTAAGAGTCTTCTTTTGTCACGCTGTTGTTACAGTGTTGAAGACTTTTTAAGAAAACAATGATCTTTAGTTTTTATATTTTATCCATAAGAAATATTGTTTTTATTTGTAAGAGATTTTTTTAACGCTATTATGCAGTTTTTAATGACTGTCAAAAAGAAAGATGTTTGTGTTCGAGTAACAAAATCGTGAACCTCAAAGTGTAAATTTTTTTATTGTTAAAACATCTTTACCCAAGTTATAGATATGCTCAGTATACATACATACATACATGATACATGATCTCTCCGTCCGTAGTCCTTTGCCTTAAGGAGTTGGACAGGTCAGGGTTAATACAAAGAATAACCAACTTAATACTAATTTTTGTCACCGTCTAGGTAACTGTCTATGTCCTCTAAACTTAACTCTACTAGATATTTTTTTAATTCTGATTTGAATTTTGTTAAGCTCTGAATTTCAAGTAATTTTTTCGGTAGGGCCTGGTATAGCGTTGTTTTTTGTTATATATTTTATTGTTTAGTAACTATGACTAGTTTATTTACTAACTAAATTCCTCTTTGGCAGCTGATGGATATTTTCGTCCCATGATCCAAGCTATATATGAGCTCGTCAGATTTGGTGTCATGGTGGGCTATATTAAGAAGAGACACCAGTTTTTGGAAACCAAACCATGGAGATGCCCGAAAGTGATTCCTAAACTACAGTAGATTTTTAATAATTTAGGTACTGATTGCTGATTTTGTTCTAGTTTGGGTTGTTTAATTCTTTGCTTAGCAAGAACGAAGTTACATTTACATACTGCTATTTCATGTACTCAAAGAGAAGGTATAGAGGGAACATGCTAATGGGACGACTGTGCGGTTTCAATTCTGGTATGTTTTGTCTGAAATTTACTTGTGAAAGGAGCAAAGAAGAGTCCGAGAGGCGAGCACTATGCGGAAATTCCTATCGTACAAAGCAAAGGGTCTTTCTGAGCGTTGTTATGTTACATGAGGGCGATGGAGGCGGTGTTAGATTTTGCCCTAGACACCAGTGACTGGTGCTAGACACCAGTGACAAGCATAGACACCAGTGAATAGTGCTATACACCACTTAAGCGTACCATTGAATGTTTCCTCTGCATCTTACTTCACTATGATATACCTTATGACTAACTAAACCACATAACGTACACTAATTGTAACTGTTGTGCAAATATATTTCTTAACAGTAATAAGAGTACTTTATTTAAGTATTCTCTTTTTATAACTAGAATAGAATCAATAATTCTTGTATGCTGAATGTTATATCAATGGTCAAAGAAAAGATCTATCAATAACCTCCATTTATTAGGAGCGTAAATGGTTGTGTTTTCTAGGTAGTTAAATTTGCAATAATTATTATATATGATTTAGATTATGTTATTTATTATTAAGTGTTGTTTTGTTTTTATAAAAAATATAACAAAATTTAAATGTTTCTATCTTCCCGAGAACCAGTTTTGTCCTTGACTCAAGTTATTTAGTGAAGTTAATATTCAATTTGTGTGTTATAAAATTAACACAAAAATTTAATCAACAAACCGACTTTGGACATCTTTGAATTCTATACAAACATCTATGTTATTACTTTGAAAATAATGTTATGTTTCTTTACAGTTTATCTTTCTGCTAAGTCTACTGCACTTAATACATTTCTTTAAAGAATTTATATGTGACCAAAAAACTAAAATTATTAGCCGAAGTTTATTTAAACAACTTTATTACTTTCAGCACAATTATATAAAAAATAACAACAACATTTTTCTCTCAAAAAAAATTATCTACTTATAAATTAACAAATAGTCTGGTACAATATCATCATAAGAATACAAATAATGTTTAACTAAAAGCTATGACTGGTTATGAATAAGTAAACACTTGTTTAAAAAAATGAAATGTAAATACTTGGCTTTTCAGTTTATGCAATATGAATGAATCACGACGTATTCAAACCAACAACAGATGATGCTGAGAAATCGACCGAATCTGAACAAACTATTAATTTAAATTGAAACTGATTAATTGATTAGATGCCCGTTATCTACTGAACTTATTCAGTTGGTTTAAGTGAACCATGGACAAAGTTAATAGCACGGTTAAAAGCAAGGCGACTACAAATGATGAGAAGAAGAAGAATATTTCTATTGAGGATATTTATAAGATAGACCAACTTGACTTGGGTAAATATAATTTATTTTGTATCGTTGAACACACACTTTGTATATATTTTTCATTCCTATGGTTCACCATCGGCACCATGGTAGGAAATTTCAAGATACTCGTATGTTTCTGTTCCGAGTTTGCTTTTCATCTGGTTTTCTTTAGCAACTATGAAATACGAGTATCTTGACCAATCAAGCGATTTTTTTTTTATATTTAGAAATACCCCATGATTTCTACCTTACCTTCTATGCTTAGTAACGCTGTAAATTTTACTCTAAAATAAAAAGTAACACATAATTAGTATCAGCACACCGGAGAATAAACAGACGTTAATATATATCTACATAAGTTTCAGTTTCTTCATTATTTAGGGTTGAAGCATATTTAGAGTATAGTTGGAAACTCAAAAGTTTAGTTTGTGAACCCCATCAATTTCATTATAAGTTTAGTGAAAAATCTAAATCATAATTTTACTGAGACAGTAGCACATTACAATAATATTAATGAAGGGTAAATTGGAAATAGATCGTGCTGCTGACGTAAATCAGTTTTTTTTTCATTTTCTGGAACGTACAACTATTTATTAAAAACCTATAGACCTATGGGACATCTTGGTCCAATTTTGGACCATCAAAAACAACAGATTTTCCTGAGGATCAAACCGGCGAAAATCTTATTCCTAAGAGACCACTTTAACTTCATAGTTCCCAAGACGAGATACCTAAACGAAAAATTCTTACCGACAAGTCATCCATCATCATGATCATCAATTAAGATGGGGACGCCACCTTGGTGCATATTGTCACCCTGAAGAATGAGTGTATAATGGAATGAGATGGTCTGTGTAGCTTTGTTGCTGACTAGGAACAACTATTTCAATAACCAGGATAATTCATTTAAAGCCAGATCTGGGACAGCTATAATCAATTTTGAACCATCAAAAAGCTACTGACTTTTCTCAGGAATCCGGCAACCTTTTGATTGAACAAACACTATAACTCAGCAATAGTCGATGCATTTGTGTGATCATTTTACAAAAAGACTCCGAAGAATCTCATCTATAAGAACCCTGGGGATATAAGTTTTATAAATCTACTATACTATACTTCTAACGATGGAACTTGTCTCCTAATGCACCTTCGACCTACCTAGGAACTCACCAAAGATGGTTTAAGGCCCGGACCAATCATAGGTACACGCAGAGTCATGAGTCAGGTTCCATCATACAGACTATAAACTACTTTCTTTTTCCAGCTTTGAGGCCACAGACTGCCAAGTTCACACTCCCAGATGCTGTCCCCAGAAGGGAGTGGAGAGCTAGGTTCTCCTCGGGTGCCGGGTCTGTGGAACCTCTCAACTTCCCTCTCAACCAGGTGATCATCACCCACACAGATAGCGACCCTTGTGGAGACAAGTCGTCGTGCACGAGAGCCTTGCGTGGAGTTCAGGAACTGTTCATGATGATGGGATATCACGACATACCTTACAAGTGAGTGTCTTACACAACAACAACAAATATATAAGTTTACAGCCTATAGTGACTATACAAAATGCTACATACAGAATATACTTTAATATCGTCGTTTGGTATTTTATTCATTTTAGCACAAGCTGTGTAAGTAGTTCTATTTTATTGACTAAAATGGCCTACACTTGATTTGCAGTTTCATGGTCACTACGGAAGGAGACGTTTTTGAGGGACGAGCTTGGCTAGATGAATGCCCAATACCCGAATCCTTAGGCAGACAGGATAAAACTCTCGTAATTGGAATTATAGCAAAAGAATCAGGTAACCGACTAGCTATATGGATACACAGGAAATATACTACTTGCATTTTGGTAAAGATAGTAAGTACTTTAAAATTTCTAGAATAAGAGTTGCATATTATTCCATGAAAGAGACAACTCGAATCGGTTTCCTCATATTTTTCACTAGCTCCTTTATACGCTTACTGTACAGGGTGTTTTTTTACGTAATTTAAACTCAAAGTACCAAGAGACACTTCTTAAGGACAATAGAAGGTCATAATATGGTATCCCTGTCTATTACTTCATTGCCGATCACCTGATATGCATTGCTGCATTAGTTCCTACACGATTTGATGTTATAGGGAATATGTTGTGATTAGGACTTAACATAGTGTTTTCGCAAGTTGAAAAAGTATGCTTTGTAGACCAGCATGTCTGTTTTATTTGGATCCGTTTTCCTAAAATGTTTAACAAGTCTATAAATAGTTTATTTATTTTATACCTGAATCACAACTGCAAAAATAAATTCTAACCTTTCTTGCCATAAAACCAATGATTTACTTTTAATGTGTTATTTTACAAGACCTAATCTTAGAGTTTGCGAAAACACATGTTTAGTCTTATTCAAAATAAATTCCTAAACTTCGTAGACAACAGCTCAAAAATATATAGCTGATCATCAACGAAATAAAAAAGCAAAAAAACAGCGATAACAAAATTATGTTTTTTAAACAGTGTCCCTTTGTACTTATAATTTTGGTTGCGTTTAACATAGCAAATAACATTACCCCATAAAAAGTTGCAATTAGTTTTAACACTTAACACGACTCTCTAACGTTACTTAATATTCATTCTTCCATATTGAACAACTTATATTTTATACTTTTGATAACGTAAATAACGACTAACTCATTGTGTTTGATCAAAATTGGTCATTATAAAAAAGTTTTATTTTATTCTAGATGAGTGTGTAATGAGAGTGTGTGTGAGATGAATGTGTAATTTTTGTAACTGGTAATTTTTATTTAGAACACTTGCTAGCGTGTAAAATATATTATAAGTACGTGGTGTTACCATTTTATCATAAAAACTGTCTGAAAACATTAACGTATTTTTAAACGTAATTTATTTTTTTTATGTATTAGAATCGACCGTTCTAAATGTAATAGTCATTATGTACAGCTCTCTTAACTAAATGTTTAACCAATATTTAATAGTCTTCATGTAAAAAGGTGACATGTAAAAAGTACATTGCCTTACTGTAATTACTTAATTTAAATAATCTTTTTTCTGAATTTCAGACTGCTTTGGAAAGGCAAAAGAAGCCATCAACACACAGGTTGACAGGATAATCGACCACGGCCTCAAATATGAGCTTATTCATCCCAATTTCTTAAAAAGAGAATCGCATTCTTGGCATTTCAGATATAAATATACAAAAGAGGAAATACTACAAGACGATTACCCAGAAATAAAATCAAATTTATCAATAACGTAACTATATTATTTTATTCCATTACACATTCTATTGTTATGAAGGGTGTAAAATGGTTTCATGATTTTATAATAATTTGTCAACTATAAACCACCATTTAATATTATGTATAAAACATTATACACTCCAAATAATGCTTAGACCTGGAAAATACCAAGTCAATACCCTAGATATAAAGTAAAATTCGTAGCTAAATTACTCAAAAAACCATAACTCAAATTAATATTTGCAATTGAATTGAAATATCCCGTTTTATTAAAAAAAAATCGAACATTATTTAATTGTCATCCTCGAACAAAGATCGACTCATACACATAATTTGTGAAATAACTATAGTATTATTCGGGGAAAAATTATAACTCAACGATGTCACTTGAGTGCTGATGTAGGACCTTTTTAAGTGTGTATGAATACAAAGTGTGTTTAATCAAATCTATATTACCGCATGATTAACTTTAAATCCCAAAACTGGTTTGGTGATAAGTGTGTGGTATTAGCGAAAAAAGTTTTAAAAACTCCCTTCTTTGCATTTGATTTATCCTTTGTAAAAATTATATAAACATTCTCCCATTTTGCAAGTATTATTATGTTTTTGATACACGAAAACACTAGTGTTCCATGTTGGACTCTTAGTAGATTTTTTCCCATATAATTAATAACACTCCATCTCTAGTTTACTCGCACTTTTGTGTTTTTTCTCTAGTATATTCGTCTATAAATTAGTAAACCAAACCACAGTTTTTGAATGTTCAAATCACACCTTAAATTCTTTTCAGAATGTCACATAATGTGCAAAGATATGTTTACGTATTCCATACATATTGTACCCAATGGTATTAGGATAATTAATTCATTTACAGTAATCTATAGAGTTTATCTAATCTACATCTTGCTAATGACAATTGTATTATTAGTGCTTGATTTAGATTTCATTAAGTTCTTACATGTGTATTTAGCGATCAGTTGTATATAATAATAAGTTTGACTAAGCGAGGGATACATACGTGAGTGGAATGTTGATTTAAATATACTAACGTCTCCATTTATTTGAGGAACACCTTAACACATCAAGGAAGTTCAACACTTGCTGCGACAACCTTAAGTTGTTTAATGCCTCATAAAGTCAACTTGAAATATTTAGAAAGAACTCACCTACCAAACCTGATAGATCTTCTCATTATCAAAGTAACCAATAGCAACCACACAAATTGGAGAATTTGCCAACTCAAGTCTTATCAAAGATAACAAAACTATTTAACACTTTCTAACTGATACAAAGTTTCTTCCCAAATACCTATAGCTGAGTCATGGCATCAGCTCTCAAGGAACAGTTAGCATCAAGATTTGTCAAGGATGGTTCTTCTTCTGATATTCTGACTACAGGTCGCCAAGGTTCAAGGAATGACAAGGAGCCAAGAGAGGGAGATCTTATTGGAGATGAAGGTAAAGTAAAAAATATTAAAGGATGTTTCAGTTTTACTTTTGAAATATTTGTTTTCTCATCTCCTTAGTCAATTTAGAATCACATACTTTGGATTTGAAATAAGCTCCAAAAATATTGGATTTTAAGCTCCATCATATACGTGGAGTGATATTTCTTACTATATATTAAGTCTATAATGTCGTTTAATTAATAAAGCTAGAGGTCGTCCAGTGGTCGAAACTCGACCATAAATATGTAATTTAATTATTTTCAAAGCAATTAACCATCACTTAATTTGAAGGCAATAATGAAATAACAATTTATTCATTGGTTGATTTGGATAATATTCTCTAATGATTAGCTAATGACTAAGTGATTTTATTAAAGTAGATTAAGTATGTCAAATTCCAAGAATATATTATGCCAGTTTGTTTGTTTTGATTTGACACGTATGAACACAAAAAGGTCCATCTTCAAAGATATTCCACCACAGCTTAACCACTTCTAGCTAAAAAAATCGAATTGCACTTTACATACTTCTCTATTTTTCACCCCACTTTGTAAATAAAACATGTGATTGGAATTTGTTTTGATTTTCTGTTTATATTTCGTTGTTATTTCGTCACCATCATGGCAACCCATAAAGCCCATGTCAATTTTTTGTTAAGTTCAAATTCATTTTTTGTGCTTATCTTTGAGCCTATTTTAATTTATAATAAGATTCTGCACACCTAGAGGAAAATATCTTTCTAACAGTATGCATAGATTTTCCCTACGACGCACACGAGCTGCGAAAAAAGGTTTTAAAGAAACATGCTTGCCTATTAATATATAGATAGATAATTCAACCCATGAAGGTATAAAGATACCTTAGAAAGTGCATTCGTATGAGACTGAAACTTCTAAGAGTAAAAAAATATATAAGTTGTAAGACAGAATTATTAACACAAACTAGTCTGAACAAAACTGTATTACAGTACAACCTTTACAAACATTGGGCCAGTCACAGAGCCTAGCAAAATAAATAAATTTTGAAATTTTCACCAGCTCAGACACAGCTCTTTAAAAAAAACATGCTTCTCTCTAGAAAAATTGGGGAAGAAGTATTTTGATTTTATCGAAATGAGAAGCTTGACAACTTATTGCAGGTTAAGAACATAGGATTTTGTAAGGGTTTAAAGTCACAAAGCCTATGGATTAACTTCCTATCACATAATATATTTTCTGAGTTTGATCTTTGTATGAATGGAACATGAACATCAAAATGAATGATTTTCACAAGATGTAAAAACAGTTTTATAGGGCAAGTAATATTATTATTTATGCCCACAGACAGTGCTCGGCACATGAGATGGAGGGAACATTGGAACGCTAAAACTCCAGTGACGGAACTGAAACCTATGTCAAAACCAGTACATACAGTGATACTGACATACACAGACAGTAACCCGTGCCAAGGGGTTGACGAGTGTGATATGGCAGTGAGACAGCTGCAGGACAACTATCAGCAGAACCTTAATCTACCCGACATACCGTACAAGTAAGTCTACATGTGGTAATTTAGCTACTTGGATTCATAATTACCCATGTTAAGGAGCGATTTGGTCTAGTAGAGCATGTGACTTCAGTCTTCGAGCTCTTGGGTTCTAGTCCCAACAATAGCCAATTAATTTTAACTAAGGGATAATACCGCAACCCACTAAACCCAGACTGAAATCATGTTTAAAATGGGTTCGGGTTAGAGCCTACGTAGTCTTTTAGAATGTTAAGGTGGTACATAGAAAAAGAATATTAACCCCAGGTTGGGAGTTAATGGGTATGGTATCTCGTAAAATTCAGGACCTCTGACACCAGAAACTCAGTCCAACTGACAAACTATTATGTAAGTCAGTTAACCATATTTGTGTGAGAAATAGGTTAGGAACCTATTGGACCAGCAGAAACTTAACATACATACTCTGATTTAGTATAGTGTTTATTACTCAATGCATATTCTTTTTTCTTTTGAACTTTCTTTGTAAATGTGACAAATTACAGCATTTGCTATATTTAAACAATGCTGGATTTGTTAGAAGCTTTCCAATGAGGTTTTGAAATAAATTTACCAATTTCGTTTATTTTTTAACATCACTACAATTAAATCATAAAAAGTCTAGAAACTATCGTAGCAAAGCTTTGCATAGCCTTTTTACAAGAAAGTAGTTTTATCTAATCAATTCAATTTTCAGTTTCCTGGTCTCAACGGATGGTAACGTATATGAAGGTAGGGGGTGGGACTACAGACCTTTTGTTCCGAAAAAGGCGTTCCCAAGACTAAGGGGTTCAAGAATAGTCATCGCTCAAATCAACGTAAATTTTGGTGAGTAAATAGTGGATAGTTACTTAAAGAACCCCCACCTTTGGGGTCTCACCCGGGGTCTCCTCAAGCCCCCATATTTTGAATGGGCTTCATTTTAAATTAGCTATGAATTACACTTTTAGGTTGGGGATGTAAGTTAAGTCAATTAAACATGGAGTAGTAAATACTGTTACAAGGAGGTTGTTAAAGGGTGGGGGAGGTCTAGGAAGTTGTTTTCAAAATAAAGGCCCGGCTTATTAGGGATCTTAGTAAAAACCTATTATTATACTGTAAATCTATACCTACTTAAAACGCAATAAATTAGAAACTTCAAAAACATTTTTCTGGTTCCCGATATGGCGGGGCTTAAAGTCCTGGGAACTAAATAAGACTAAAGGTCAATAAAAAAATACTGCCTAATATTCAGCATGATTACAAGTTCCTAGCAATACAAGAACCAGTTTTACAAATACTTACAAAAAAGTATTGATTTTATCCTAAGGGGGTGGGTTTGGAAAGAAAAAGTCAATTTACCAACGTTTTATCTACATAACAACAATGGGGCTGCGTTCAGCCTTCTCGGGGGATTTAAGTTTTAAAGAAATATTTAAAAAATAACAAATATACATATTATCAGTTATTATACAAGTTTTTCGTGTCAAACACAATATTTCACGTACATGGGGCAACCAAGAAGAATGGCAATGGAAAAATAAGTCATCATATGAAGTTTGATCCCACATTTAGTGGGTAGATCTGAAGAACAATTCAAACCTTGGTATACTAGTTACACATAATGTTTTTAATATTTTCCGTTTATCAAATTGATGCAGTAGATCATGCTTTAATCTGAGAAACCTTAAGTGCTTATGCTAGAGTGGATGTAGTGCTTTCTTTCAAGTGTTAAGGTTGCTCGTTCTAGGGATTGATTCTGGACTCAAAGGCTTTTGTCATAATACTATTATTTAATTATTTAATACATATTTATTTCTATTTTAACATGAAAATATCTAAAAATGCATTCATGTTATTTCTTTGCAGACGATTCAATACTACCACCAGCAGACAGTGCTACTTGGGATCTTATACAGTTTGGTATAAACAACGATTTCATCCATTCAGAGGCAAAAAAGATCGTTTCAGCTCCATGGATTTAATAAAACTTTTTACTATTAACAAGTCATAATTGTAACCTTTTCACCTATTGACACAACTGTTGTCAGCAGTTATATCTTAATTAAAATTAAGATGTAATAGTAACAGTATTTCTATTGTATGGTCATACGTTCGCTCTCACCTCGAATCTGGTTTTAGAAAGGATCTATTTTCCATTTACTCTTTGTTAAGAGTAAAAGGATCTGTCACTCGTAAAAAAAATGCATAAACATTAATCTCTTTGTCTTTGCTTCTTGACTTTAAATTTGTCAGGTAGACTTGCCTAGATCTACTGAAAAAATAAACCAGTCTAATGTGTTTCTTTAGAATTTAATCCAAAGCATATATGCTATTGATGTTTTAATTCACTTATGAACATCCTAAAGTGGACATGGATTTTACTGTTTTTAATTTCAAACCACAACGCCAGCAACTATAACAATCTTTACTGATAACAACGTATGCTCCCTATTTGATAATTCTTTGTGGGACTTAAAATTTAACCTTAAACACCAATCACAAATCAAGTACACTACTTTAAAACTTAAGGAAATCTTTTACTCTTATTTGCTTTTCCTTTTCAAATGCTTAGTCACCAAAGGTCCAGCTTCGGGCGTCCTAGACTCACAAGGGGTTGATATTAGATTGTCCAGTTGACTTTTCGCACACGAACACACACTGCTGATTGTAGATAAACATGTTGGATGTAAGGGTAACGAACCGGGCAACCCGGATACTTCACAGACCTTAGTCACGTTCTTAGTAAATCTGATTACATTTAGAACAAACGTGTTATATATGTTGAACGGCCTAGAGTATTTTCTGGATTGTTTGAAATTTAAATTTGTTTCAATGGTTGTGAGTCGGTGGCTCAGTTGGTAGCGTTGCGGACTTCGGGCCCAAGGCAGTAGTGTCGTGAGTTCGGATCCTGGTCACTGCCACAAACTGTTGTCAGTACAGTTCACCTTTGTACTGTACCGGCTCACCCCTTGCTTTGCTGGATACGTTCCACGCACAGATCTGTAGTGTATGTGGACGGGCAATAATTGCAAGGTTAAAAGAGGCCGCCAACCTCTTAAAAAAAGAGGCCGAATTCAAAACTTTGTAATTTGTATATAGTTTTTTAATTAATATATGAGCTCAACGTCAACGGTACTGCCCTGAAATTTATCGAAGATTATCACGTCAAAAAAGCTTTGGAAGCAGACCATTTGCCATTATGCTTTTAATTAATGTTGCTATCCAACAAAAGGTTGACTTAGGATAGTAAAAAGAGCAGGTTTTGAACCATTACTTGACAAAAAACTTTTTTAAATTCAAATGGCGTATAAACACAAAAACGTAAAACTTGGGCTCTAAAAAGAACTATTGCCACCAACAACCTAGAAGGTAAAAAATGTATATGCCTCAGGCTACGCATGATCTCAAGAGTGAAAAATATCTCAGTATGGAGGAAAGAATCATTTCATTTCAATAACAGTTTCACAATATTTTACTCTGGCAAACAAATCCATAGGCTAATTACTGATATTTGACATTATAAATAATTAAGTATTTGAAACACCGACAATGGAAGGAAGTATTGTTAAAAGGATATGAAGAGAGAATAATTTTCATAAATATGATACAATATCACGAACCATCTGCCGACAAAACGCCCCTGGCGGAACGGTCAAATGTTAAAATACCCTCTTGGATATGACTTGTCAAAAGCACCTGTCTCATAAGGGTGGATGAAAAGAGAAAGAGAGGATTTCCAAATGTATAAACTAGGTGAATACAGCATGTAACATGTATTTTCTCAACTGAATAGTTGTATTTTGTCAGATATACAATAGTTAAATTTTCATTGTAAATTTGCGAATTGTGTGATAACTACGCTGTTTAGAAGAAATTAATAAAGTATATGAATTGACATACGTGTAGGTAAAAATATTTTCAGTTGTATGTAGAGTTAATGATTTGATTATTCAAAATATAAAGCTTTTAGCTGCAATACTAAACCTACTACAAGTCTATTGCACTGGACTTTAGTCTATAAAAACTATTGGGATTGAAACATTATTCAAAATCAAGGAATTAAATACAACACAGTAACGATACACTTAGTTTTTCCATTTTTCCTTTCACGCCTAAAGTTGACTCCTTAAACAGTCCATATGCACAGCAAACTATGATTGGGTTGAACCCAAAGCAAATTAGCTATGAACTCAGCACATTTCTGCAGCTTTCATATTCTTTGTTTTCTACTTGAGTCATTCCTCAGCCAGACTCCCCTCTAGCAATTCCACGGGGATCTACTGAATCATTGGTTCTATTTTTGCGAGTCATCGATCTATGACGCTGCAAGGAGGGTCAGAACCAACTGTTACATGCATTATATGACGTCACCGGAGTCATCTGGTGTAATGGAGAATATTGCTCAGTATCATCACGACGATATGTGCTAGGTAGCAAAGTAGTTGTAGATTATGTTTTCTAAAAAAAGTTGTTATAATATGTTGATCTTAAGAAGGTTTTATTAAAATTGAACCGACTGCAATTGCTCTATGGTATTTTTAAATTCATGATCCAGGCCATACTTATTTGGTCATAGTACCAGAGTTGCTCAAGGAATCTCAGGCCAACCTATAGTCTTCCTATATCGATGGTCTTCTCTCACGCTTATACAGCTTAAAATACGACACCAAGTATGAGTATGGGATGACACCATGAGTATCTGCTACAAAGAAATGAAACAATAATGTAAAATCAACCTTTCCTTTCAAACTAGGAAAAACACTGGCGTTAGAAACCCTGGATTACCATTTTTGTAATATCCATATAAGCCTTTATAAAACATAGTAAGTAAAGATAGCCAAATACGTTTAAACATGTGTCATACATCACTAAAGAACAGATTCCATTGTTTTATAGTGCCTGGAATCACAATGGAAAAGTATAATATATTTCGACATTTCGACATTGAGCTTTCAAATATTAAAATTTCTGATGTGGAAAAATGTATAATTTCTAACTTGTCACAACGTACCCTAATAAATTAAAAGAGATAGACGGACTATTAAAAATATTGTATTTCATGTTTATTATAAATTGGATCCTTCTCTTTAGTTTAAAAAATCTATTGTACGAACTATGTACCTGAACAAGTCATAAAAACAAGTCTCGCATATTAAATAGAAGCAATTATTTAATCATTGGACGATCTCATTCGTAATAACATCTAAATAAATAAATAATAGTGCCTGTATTAGCCTGCGTTTCTCTGATACACATCATTTTTTCTGAACAACTTTTGTCATTAAACTACTGTACTTACAACTAAACATGTATATATTTTAAGCACGTTTTAAATTTAATCTTAAAAGTATTGCTGGATTCAACTGACTTTTGGCTCTACAACATGTATTTTATGATTCAAAACAAATATTATCTCATACATAGAACCTTCCGTTGTTTAAAACATCCATTATGTGTTATCAGACAAATACCTTTGACCGAGTACTGTATTTTTTGTGTCGCTGACTGTATTTTGTTAGTGTTCGATTGTCGTTCAACTTTAAGTCCTATTGGACTTAACATGCTATTTATAGTTGTTTCAAGGAAACCCCAAAGAGGTTTTCAAAGATAACTAGTTTTATTCTGAATTAATTTGTTCATATGTATTGGTAGTAAAAGAAACGTGATCTTTTTTCGCTATGTCAGATATAGTAAGTGTTTTATAGAATCTATTAGCTTATAAGTATTAAGTACTTAACACGTCCTATCAAAATCAAGAAGTAAACTAAATGTTTATAGCTTGAAAATGCTTAGCTATAAAAGATAAAAGAAATATAAAAATACATAGGCTAGCTAAGTTTGAGGATTTGCTTATTTTCTATATTCCTGATTTCAAACAATATTCTAAATGCTCTATTATAGGTTGTATTCACGTCAACAGATTTCACTTACGCAATTAAAAATATTTATTTGATTTAGTGAACTATATTTAGATACCGAATATAAACTGAAACAATGTTGAAATGGGTAGTATTTATGTAGTATATATATGCTTTTTTGGTTGTTATAATATTATCAATACTTGGAGCCAGCCTTTGGATAAAGTTCAAACTTATAAATGAATATTTTAATTTTAACATTTAATAATAAGGAATTGATTTTATACCAGATACCTTTTTTTGAAAGTCCATGGAAGTTAGATGATAACATTTCTTTTTATTGGTATGTGTTGGAGTTCGGAGTATTTTTGTCATGTTTAAAATTTGGAGCAACCCCTAACTTATAATATCCAAAAAGTATCTGAAGGCATGCCCCTAGGACATCAGTGGTGACTAGGAACTAGGTCCAGAATTAATCTCGTTTTAACTACTAATATAAAAAAATCAAATTGAACACTCGACTATTTACATAACTGCTAATTTTCATTGGAAAAAATACTTAAGAAGAAAATCTGTTTCAGTCTGAAGATGAGGCGACAGATGATGAAACCACGGATGTGGAAAGATCCGAAATCGAAAGACACCAAGGAGAAGAACTCAAGATATTACCTCGGAACCTATGGGACCCGCAGGATTCGCCGCGTCCCATGGACAGGATGAAGTATCCGCTAAAGGCTGTCTACTGGACAAACAGTCAGTCCAAGCCATGTTACAACCAGAAACAATGTCTCAGAAGAATCAGAGAACTTCAGGAGTTCCATCTGAAAGGAGGGATGTTCGACATACCTTTCAAGTAGGTTACAGTTTATTACGGAGTAATTTCAGGGAGGGGCCCAGAATGTTAAAATACACTACAAATACGTTAAGTTATGTTAATGGACCTGGAAGTCTTAAGGAAAACCTGAATGTTATCCTTTTCAAGTAGATTAACGTATGTTGGTAGGAAATGTTACTAGAAAATTCAAGAAGGTAAAAACACATTTTAGGGGGTACAAGGTTCGTACGTGGTAAACGTCAGGGAGAGAAATGGGATTTAAAATACACTTTTAGTAGGGTTAAGGCGTGTTAATAAAAAATGTTACGGGATAGGGCCAAGATATATAAAGAACGCTTTCAGTAGGTCTGGGTCTGTTACTGTAAATTTTTAGGGGTCGAACACCGAATGTTTGAAGTACACTTCTAGTAGATCAAGCCAACAGGGAAATTTGAGGAGGGAAAACTATGATGTCTTGCATACACTGGAAAAAGGTTTGAGTACGTTAAAGGGGGTTCAATGGCATGTTTAACATGCCATATAGAGTCAGGAAGATTTCTGTATTTTTTCATTCAGCCACACATAATTTTGTTTCCTATTCCAAGGTAAATGTGATGAAACTGGGGGTCTTTTCTCCTACTCTAAGTAATAGACCATTTACAGCTATTTGTTTGCCATATAATGACGTTATATTATGTTTTCATTTGTAGTGTTCAAGTTTTCTGGTCGGTTGAGACAGTTGTATCACTAAAGAAAAACTGAGGGTGTCTATTATTGTATATAATAAACCATTGTCACGTAGGATAAGCTTGGTTCGTCCACTATTATGATACGTTTTTTCGTGTTTAAGTTTCCTGGTTGGAGGAGACTGTAAGATATACGAAGGTCGAGGATGGGACTGGGGGTGTCTTCTACCCTACACAAGGAGACAGATCATTGACATGTATAAACATCCTTACCAGAACTGTAGTCTTGTCATCGCCTACATTGGCAAAACTTTAGGTAATTATAACATAAACATTCGTCCAAAATTGATAATCATCACCTTGAGCCATATATTTCATCTATATTCTCTTTTATTCTACTGTACTTTTTTAACTCCCTCCCCCCCACTCCACCCTCCCCCATGAGATTCCACCCTTGTTCTTGTAATTTACAAACTAAAAACATTTCAACTTGCATTGTTAACGTTTGTAATTTTGATGAGTCAACGATATTTTGATGACAGTGAGTTTTACATACTTTCTCTACGTTTTCAATTGAACGAATGATTTAGGTTCCAATTAAGTGATCCAATTTGATAATTTACTTCTTGATATATCTCAAAGCATTACTCCATTTTGCGTCTTAAGATACTCAAATGTGTGTTTTTTTTTTTTTTTTTTTTTTTTTTTATTAGAGTACTCCAACGTCAATATATTTTAGGTATTTTTTAAATATATTCTTATTTACGTGTCATCATTATGTTTTCTTAGAAAGAGATTTGAATCACCCTATGGTCCAGGCGGGAGACAGGCTGGTCGACTATGCCAGGGACAACAACATGATAATTCCTGGATTTGAAACTATAGTCAAACCTTACTGGGTGGCATACGCCAAGAACATGTTTGCTGCTGAAGCAGATGTGCAAGACCCTGGAAGAGGATGAAGAGCAGACAAACAATTGCATTGTATAAACTACACTGTTGCAATTGCCTGTCTTGTTGTAAATTTTAATTTATTTACTAAGATTAAATATTTGTATGGGATTCCCATCAAATGATCTTTAGGAAATTGAACAACCTACAGTACCTTCCATTCTACATTACCCTCAGTGTGTGTAGTTTTCTTGTCAATGAATTGGTTTAAAGTGGCTTGGTCTATTTGTTTCATGCATTGAAGAGTATTTTCTCTTAAATAGCCACATATCATCGGTATTTCTATAGCAATTTAATTTATAATAAAAATGTACAATATGTATGTATTGCTAATCTAGTCTCCTTGAATTACGCACTACCTTACGTAAATTATTTTATATTTAAATAATTCAGAGGCTGTCTAATTCATAAAAAAGTGCCTACCAGCCAGTGCATCTAAGACGTATATATTGAAAAATATATTGAATTATTTGCATTTTGAATTGATTTAGGGATGTCCATGAAGATTCTTTATGAATTAACCTGAACGATTAAAATCATGCTACTGTGAAATCATGTTACATCTTGGCACCAACCTATCACTTTGCTCAAATATCAGTAAAAAATATGAAGGAACAAAAATGAGTAAACGAAGCCGCAGGATGGTATCATTTAATGTTAATTCTTCATAAAATCGTATCTATATCAAACATAATATCAAATAAATTGGCTTGAAAAGAAAGCCATGATGGGAGAAGACCCAGAGTCACCAAAGAAGAGATAGAAAGATTGCATCTGCAAGCAAAAGACGTAAGACTATTTAAAACATAATGTTGAGGATTTGAAGAAGCGTTTGCAGTTGGATGGTAAGGTATAATATGAAGAATAATCTTAGGTATATAACTGATGACGATAGGTACTATTATTGAACTTTGTTGTTCAACAAGTTGTTCTGCGTAGCATTATTAATGAATTTAAACAATTGTGTCATTGCCCTAAAACAGGTATAATCTTTTCTTACTTTTAAAACAATATTAAGTGTTATCAATTGATAAAACCCCCTCCACAAATACGCTAAACTCTTACTTTTTATAAGCCATTGTTGTCAGTGAGGTTGATGTTAACATTATTGAATTTGTCAAGCAGGAATTCTAATCTTAAGCTAAGTATTCGTTACTTTATTTACACTCATTTAATGTAGTTATATGAAAGCAGTTTAAGCTTGACAAATTTAAATACAAAATATTAGCGATGATTAACATTTTATGTAAAAAAAAAGGTTTGCTCATTGCATATTTTCTGTCAGCTTGTGTTTTACTATTCAGTATAAAAAATTGCAATTAATATGTGTAAACTAATTGCTGTACTTTTTATGTAGAATAAATTACAAAGTGGCGACGGATATTAAAAGAAAGATTATCGTTAAATTTCGAGGTCGCAAAAGACGTTGTGTTTTTTTTTCGGTTTGCCAATATTTCTTTAAACTTTCGAAAGCAATTATCAAAACGTATAAGCTACGTGATACAAAGTAGAAATTATTGTTTGTAGTTTTTACACCATTATTCAAGTTAAAGTGGTTATGTAAGACTTTAAAATAAAATAAAAAATACGTGAAAGTCTTATCGCTCAAAGAAAGAAACACCTCAGTATAAAATAAATACCATACCATAATATTGAGCTTTGAAAATCCAACCTCGAACTAAAGTCATAAAACCACTAAACCTAAAAGACTGTTCGATATTTTAACTTAACTATTGTTAAGGTCCCCAACCAGTGAGATTTCTAATCATCAACGTTTTAGTTGCAATAAATCTATCATGTAAAGGTTTCTGTTAAATAGGACATTTTTAATTTAAATGGTGAAATTGAAATTCAAGTGATAATGTACTAAGCTTCCGATTCCAAAATCACTCCTTACCCTAGCATATACCTCAAGTGTGTAGCCTGGCCACACTTTCAAATGCGATCCTGGATTTTGTCTGATTGAAAATATCCTTCCTAAATCATATAGCCAATAATAAGTATTTTCACTTTATTCCTTTTTACGTACCACCTTCACATCCTAAGACCCTTAATGGTTTTACACATAACTTCATGCTACTCCTAGATGGTCGTAGCATTATCACATAAATAAACCCATTGTTGGTTGGCAGGATTTGAGACTGGGACTATAGGCACTGAAGCCCTGAGCTCTACCAATAGCCTAGCTCGCTCTCCAAAAAAAGAGTAAAACCTAATATATCTAAATGTACCACAATTTCTCCTCGATCCCACAGGATGCTGGAGATAGTTACCCGTCAGTTGTGGAAGGCGATGCAGTCCCAGTGGGACATCCCGGCTATGAACCGTCCCGCCACCCATCTCTGGATCATCTACACGGGAGGTCCTCAGTGCAGGGAATGGGACGAGTGTGTGCCTACTGTAGGAGCACTGCAGAGGTACCACATACTGAACAAGGAGGTCCCTGATATGCCGTACAGGTAATTATAAAGTTCCTCGGTGCAGGGAATGGGACGAGTGTGTGCATTCTGTAGGAGCGCTGCAGAGGTACCACATACTGAACAAGGAGGTCCCTGATATGCCGTACAGGTAATTATAAAGTTCCTTAGTGCAGGGAATGGGACGAGTGTGTGCCTACTGTAGGAGTGCTGCAGAGGTACCACATACTGAACAAGGAGGTCCCTGATATGCCGTACAGGTAATTATAAAGTTCCTTAGTGCAGGGAATGGGACGAGTGTGTGCCTACTGTAGGAGCACTGCTGCAGAGGTACCACATACTGAACAAGGAGGTCCCTGATATGCCGTACAGGTAATTATAAAGTTCCTTAGTGCAGGGAATGGGACGAGTGTGTGCCTACTGTAGGAGCACTGCAGAGGTACCATATACTGAACAAGGAGGTCCCTGATATGCCGTACAGGTAATTATAAAGTTCCTTAGTGCAGGGAATGGGACGAGTGTGTGCCTACTGTAGGAGCACTGCTGCAGAGGTACCACATACTGAACAAGGAGGTCCCTGATATGCCGTACAGGTAATTAATTATAAAGTTCCTTAGTGCAGGGAATGGGACGAGTGTGTGCCTACTGTAGGAGCACTGCAGAGGTACCACATACTGAACAAGGAGGTCCCTGATATGCCGTACAGGTAATTAATTATAAAGTTCCTTAGTGCAGGGAATGGGACGAGTGTGTGCCTACTGTAGGAGCACTGCAGAGGTACCATATACTGAACAAGGAGGTCCCTGATATGCCGTACAGGTAATTATAAAGTTCCTTAGTGCAGGGAATAGGACGAGTGTGTGCCTACTGTAGGAGCACTGCAGAGGTACCATATACTGAACAAGGAGGTCCCTGATATGCCGTACAGGTAATTATAAAGTTCCTTAGTGCAGGGAATGGGACGAGTGTGTGCCTACTGTAGGAGCACTGCAGAGGTACCACATACTGAACAAGGAGGTCCCTGATATGCCGTACAGGTAATTAATTATAAAGTTCCTTAGTGCAGGGAATGGAACGAGTGTGTGCCTACTGTAGGAGCACTGCAGAGGTACCACATACTGAACAAGGAGGTCCCTGATATGCCGTACAGGTAATTAATTATAAAGTTCCTTAGTGCAGGGAATGGGACGAGTGTGTGCCTACTGTAGGAGCACTGCAGAGGTACCACATACTGAACAAGGAGGTCCCTGATGCCGTACAGGTAATTATTAAGTTCCTTAGTGCAGGGAATGGGACGAGTGTGTGCCTACTGTAGGAGCACTGCTGCAGAGGTATCACATACTGAACAAGGAGGTCCCTGATATGCCGTACAGGTAATTATAAAGTTCCTTAGTGCAGGGAATGGGACGAGTGTGTGCCTACTGTAGGAGCACTGCAGAGGTACCATATACTGAACAAGGAGGTCCCTGATATGCCGTACAGGTAATTATAAAGTTCCTTAGTGCAGGGAATGGGACGAGTGTGTGCCTACTGTAGGAGCACTGCTGCAGAGGTACCACATACTGAACAAGGAGGTCCCTGATATGCCGTACAGGTAATTAATTATAAAGTTCCTTAGTGCAGGGAATGGGACGAGTGTGTGCCTACTGTAGGAGCACTGCAGAGGTACCACATACTGAACAAGGAGGTCCCTGATATGCCGTACAGGTAATTAATTATAAAGTTCCTTAGTGCAGGGAATGGGACGAGTGTGTGCCTACTGTAGGAGCACTGCAGAGGTACCATATACTGAACAAGGAGGTCCCTGATATGCCGTACAGGTAATTATAAAGTTCCTTAGTGCAGGGAATGGGACGAGTGTGTGCCTACTGTAGGAGCACTGCAGAGGTACCATATACTGAACAAGGAGGTCCCTGATATGCCGTACAGGTAATTATAAAGTTCCTTAGTGCAGGGAATGGGACGAGTGTGTGCCTACTGTAGGAGCACTGCAGAGGTACCACATACTGAACAAGGAGGTCCCTGATATGCCGTACAGGTAATTAATTATAAAGTTCCTTAGTGCAGGGAATGGGACGAGTGTGTGCCTACTGTAGAAGCACTGTAGAGGTACCACATACTGAACAAGGAGGTCCCTGATATGCCGTACAGGTAATTATAAAGTTCCTTAGTGCAGGGAATGGGACGAGTGTGTGCCTACTGTAGGAGCACTGCAGAGGTACCACATACTGAACAAGGAGGTCCCTGATATGCCGTACAGGTAATTAATTATAAAGTTCCTTAGTGCAGGGAATGGAACGAGTGTGTGCCTACTGTAGGAGCACTGCAGAGGTACCACATACTGAACAAGGAGGTCCCTGATATGCCGTACAGGTAATTATAAAGTTCCTTAGTGCAGGGAATGGGACGAGTGTGTGCCTACTGTAGGAGCACTGCAGAGGTACCATATACTGAACAAGGAGGTCCCTGATATGCCGTACAGGTAATTATAAAGTTCCTTAGTGCAGGGAATGGGACGAGTGTGTGCCTACTGTAGGAGCACTGCTGCAGAGGTACCACATACTGAACAAGGAGGTCCCTGATATGCCGTACAGGTAATTAATTATAAAGTTCCTTAGTGCAGGGAATGGGACGAGTGTGTGCCTACTGTAGGAGCACTGCGGAGGTACCACATACTAAACAAGGAGGTCCCTGATATGCCGTACAGGTAATTATAAAGTTCCTTAGTGCAGGGAATGGGACGAGTGTGTGCCTACTGTAGGAGCGCTGCAGAGGTACCATACTGAACAAGGAGGTCCCTGATATGCCGTACAGGTAATTATAAAGCACCTCGGAGCAGGGAATGGGAAGAGTGTGTGCCTTCTATAGGAGCGCTGCAGAGGTACCACATACTGAACGAGGAGGTCCCTGATATGCCGTACAGGTAATTATAAAGTTCCTCGGTGCATGGAATGGGACGAGTGTATGCCTTGTGTAGGAGCACTGCAGAGGTACCACATACTGAGCAAGGAAATCCCTGATATGCCGTACAGGTAATTAATTATAAAGTTCCTTAGTGCAGGGAATGGGACGAGTGTGTGCCTACTGTAGGAGCACTGCAGAGGTACCACATACTGAACAAGGAGGTCCCTGATATGCCGTACAGGTAATTATAAAGTTCCTTAGTGCAGGGAATGGGACGAGTGTGTGCCTACTGTAGGAGCACTGCTGCAGAGGTACCACATACTGAACAAGGAGGTCCCTGATATGCCGTACAGGTAATTATAAAGTTCCTTAGTGCAGGGAATGGGACGAGTGTGTGCCTACTGTAGGAGCACTGCAGAGGTACCATATACTGAACAAGGAGGTCCCTGATATGCCGTACAGGTAATTATAAAGTTCCTTAGTGCAGGGAATGGGACGAGTGTGTGCCTACTGTAGGAGCACTGCTGCAGAGGTACCACATACTGAACAAGGAGGTCCCTGATATGCCGTACAGGTAATTATAAAGTTCCTTAGTGCAGGGAATGGGACGAGTGTGTGCCTACTGTAGGAGCACTGCTGCAGAGGTACCACATACTGAACAAGGAGGTCCCTGATATGCCGTACAGGTAATTAATTATAAAGTTCCTTAGTGCAGGGAATGGGACGAGTGTGTGCCTACTGTAGGAGCGCTGCAGAGGTACCATATACTGAACAAGGAGGTCCCTGATATGCCGTACAGGTAATTATAAAGTTCCTTAGTGCAGGGAATGGGACGAGTGTGTGCCTACTGTAGGAGCACTGCTGCAGAGGTACCACATACTGAACAAGGAGGTCCCTGATATGCCGTACAGGTAATTAATTATAAAGTTCCTTAGTGCAGGGAATGGGGCGAGTGTGTGCCTACTGTAGGAGCACTGCAGAGGTACCACATACTGAACAAGGAGGTCCCTGATATGCCGTACAGGTAATTAATTATAAAGTTCCTTAGTGCAGGGAATGGGACGAGTGTGTGCCTACTGTAGGAGCACTGCGGAGGTACCACATACTGAACAAGGAGGTCCCTGATATGCCGTACAGGTAATTATAAAGTTCCTTAGTGCAGGGAATGGGACGAGTGTGTGCCTACTGTAGGAGCGCTGCAGAGGTACCATACTGAACAAGGAGGTCCCTGATATGCCGTACAGGTAATTATAAAGCACCTCGGAGCAGGGAATGGGAAGAGTGTGTGCCTTCTATAGGAGCGCTGCAGAGGTACCACATACTGAACAAGGAAATCCCTGATATGCCGTACAGGTATTTCGTTGTACTGCTGCAAAACAGCTATTTTCTTATATGCGTTGTGTGTCTGAAGTAGCTTTTTACTCGATAGAGAGTGAAAATAACTTTTACTCCCTGGGGATTAAACATCTGCTGGATTTGATGACGTCAGCAGTAAATTTTTCTCATTTTTTATCCACATTGCAAGTTGTATTAATTGTTTTCAATAGGGTTTAGTTTATTTTTGCATTGTGTTCTACTGGATTAACATTTGTTTACGTATTTTCATTATGTAACCTAGTTTGCTTAAATAAATAGACAAAGTGTGAGGAAGATGAGGAGGAGAAGGAGGAGCAGGAGGATGAGGAGGAGAAGGAGGAGGAGGGGAGGGGAGGAGAGGGAGGAGGATGAAGAGGAAGGAGAGGGGAAGAGAAGAAGGAGAGGATTTGGAGTAGGAGGATGAGGAGGAGGGGAGGGGAGGAGGGGAGGAGAATAAAGAGAAAGGGGAGGGGAGGAACAGAGGATTTGGAGTAGGAGGAGGAGGAGGAGGAGGAGGAGTAGGAGAAGGAGGAGGATCACCTATCTATAACAGTGATCTCACAACCCTGACGAAGTACCGTTACAATCTGAGTTATTCAGCCACTGTAAAAGTAAAATAGTTGTCAGCGGTTCTCAAGTCCATTATTTTGTTGTAGTTTCGTGATCGGCAGTGATGGCAGAGTATACGAAGGCCGAGGGTGGGGAGTTAGCGTTCCGGAACCCTACAACCATCCAGAACTGATAAACACCAGATACATTATTGGTTTCCTGGCAGAGGACTTCAGTAAGTTAGACAATTTCATAAAATGTTTATTCTATTATTTATGAGGAAGAATGACTGTAATTTCTGTTGCGAAACAATCTGCATGTGTAATTTGTTACTTCTAACTAGCATTGTACTGTTTTGACAGTAAATCTAAGTGTTCACTTAGCCAAAAATATCGGCTTGCAATTTTGGTTTAGAAGAAATTTAGAAGAAAAAATACACATTGTATTTCAATTTGTAAAACTTAAATCAAAGAAATCCTTTGTTTTGGATCACACAAACATTCATACCACTTGTCCAAATAGAAAATAAGTGGTTTTATAGCCGTGCTTTACAGCATAGTTTAATCTCAGTGTAAATAAAAATTAATTGCCTTTCAAAGCTACTAAAGAAAACCGCTAGTATTAGCATTGAGTATTAGTAGTAAGTGCACACAGTATTTTCTATGATTATTTCACCCACCAACAACAAATTAACTTCTTTATTTTTACAAAATGTCCTATTTCGATTTTTTCAATTAGCTGTGGAGCAGGTTGAAAAAAGGCCGTGAATAGAGTGTTTTCCAACAGTTTTCATGAAAAATTATTTTTCAACTCATCAATACAATAATGCCATAAGTTAACTTAGTAATTTTAAAATCCGGTGGCCTAGCATCTAGAGATTAAAAGATAGTCAGAATCAGTCCCACATACAGAACATCATCTCAAGGTTATGGGCGATCGAATGAACTTTAATAACATAAAGGACTAAAGTACATAAATTCAGCTAAATATAATACATTATTTAGTATATAAAACTTGTAGACACGTCATACGTCTTTATTTAAAAACCTAACAAAATTACCCACTTAAGCTGATTTCTGTGAATGTTTACAGTCTACCCTCACGAAGCCCCAGAGAACATTGCGCTGAAGAAATTGATAGAGTATGGTATCAAGCATGGGTGGTTGGCTCCAGACTTCGCCTACTACCAGTGGGACGATGTACCATACAAGATGCCACCCAATATAGAGGGGTGGACTAGACAGCTGGATTTCTTTAAATATCCTAGTAAACTATTGAAAGATAATCCTTTAAAATAAAGGTTTTTATCTCAACCTTTAACTAAGTATGTTTTTGGATTCCTATGCCATTCACTATACAAAAGATCCATAAACAACCTGCAATGTATACAGGGCCAAATTCATTTCTTATAGTTCAAACATTAATCAGCTTAATTTTTACTAATCTTCCTATTACAAAATATTGAATTATTTAAATCTTTGTTCTTGCAGACATTTGTGTGTTTTCTCCAATTATTTCTTCACGGTGTGCGGCATCCACTGGGAGATTGTAAAACGTTCTTTTTACATTATAAAGGCTATTTAAAAGACAGTGAGCATGCCTACAATTGCTCATTGCAGGTACGCGTCCGTGTCAGCGACCCTTCTCACCTCTGTGAACATGTCCCATCATAAACATAACTATTGATGTGCTGAATAAATCCTTGTAAATGTTGTTAAAAAGAAATTTCTACAATTCCCCCCAAGATGATACTCACTGTGACGAAGTAAATGGTTTTCGAAAAAGGTGGGGCCATCGTTTACGTAGTGATTCTTTGGGTCAAAATAGCAAAAAGGAAAAAGGTTTAAAACAAACATATGTCATACCTCGTTCATGTTTGCTTATTTTTACAAAAGGAATCACTTTGTAAATTTTGTCTATAACTTAACACCCTGTATTTTGGAGAAAACATGACAATTTCTTTAAGAACTATGGCAACAAAACTAGGTACTGTATCTTTAATAGTTCAATTTCTTAGTTCTTGCCATAGAGAAAGTAAATAAATAAAAATTCATAAATATTTCTATGAGACTTAGTAGGAGTTTTAACACAATAGTTAAGAATACATTTTCCTGTTGCAAACACTTTGACTGTTTTAAGCTTCAATTCAAAAGCCTCTCTACTACTAGATATCGAAGATTTAAATTGACTCTGACTTCTAATATAGTCGTAAGTCAATGGTTAACCAACACAAGATAAACGTTTTAAGTTATTGTTATTAAAAATAGTGATAAGTAAAAACAATATCTCATGATAAAGTACAGTTGCTCAACCGTTGCATCAATAATATTATCACAGACAGTGAAACGTACTAACTTATACATTAGGTAATATATTTGTGACATACGCTTTAAAGGACCGTGCACAAATCATGACTATGACACCGGTGAATTCATTTTCATTTACGAAAAGTAGTTCATAGATTTGTTTTAGTTTTATTTATTTTCTATAAGATTGCAGTAAGTTTATAGTTAGCTTTGCTATGCGATATAGTAAAATTAAATAAAAATCAATATAAAAAGTTGTGGGGCATAATTTTGATTAAATCAAGTTAAGATCGTTCTGTTAGTTCCTAAATTGAGTATTTTGAAACGGTCCTACATATTTTTGGGTGCCTAACGGTTGAATTTTTCTTTTATTTGTGATGAATGTTTCTTTAAGTCAATTTTGATACAAACATTAAGTTCAGGTGAATTTTGTATCCATTTTGCAAAAATATTAAATCCAATTTGAACTGGTTTAAAATCGAATCATGAGAGCTTGTAAGTTAACATCTGGACTTGATTTAAAACTGAATAGCATAAAATAGTAATAAAAAAATGTATAATTAAAATTATCGTTTGAACACGATTTATATATTGTGTATGGAACTTTTGAGCTTTTGAATTTCGCACATAAGAAACAACCTTGCGGGTTTACATTAACTGTTTACCTCTTTCAGATTTGCGATTAATTTAAGCTGTAAAAGCTTGAGAATGAAGTTGACCAGTTTTACCTTTTACCTTATTGACAAAACTAGATCCATTACTAGGTATAGGTATACTTTTAATGTTTAATTTAAAGGAAACGCTTGACTAGAGGTAGAGATTTGGGTATCATTATCCAAGATCACATGTTCAAACCATGCAAATTACCATTAGCTTATCCACTGATAAGTGCAAGGTAGAAATGTCGTCCTGGTAGACGACGAAGAGTAGATGACGAAATAGAGTCCTGGTACTGTACCTGCCACTACTATTTATCAGTACATTTCACATTTGTACTGTACCGGCTCACCTCTTGCTTTCCTGAATACGTTCCACGCACAGGTCCGTTGCCTATGTAGACGGGCAAATGCTAATTTAAATGAGGCCGTGTCACCAAAGTTAAGCTTTTTGCTATGTTATGATGTCATTATTCTTTAGGTTTAGCCCCAAGTTAAAGTGATTCTGTGCTAAATCCTAGCGTCCTAGGATGTGACGGGAGGACATATTCAAAACTGTTTACTTTTTACTCCTCGTACCTCTTTGGAGTAACCTTTGAAGTAACCTTTAGAGCAACCTTTAGAGTAACTCTGCATCTGTTCCAGCAAGACCCTTGCACATGGCGGGAGCCTCGCATAGTCCCCAGGAAAATGTGGGGAGCGCGGGAGCCCACTGGACCCATAGCACCTCTCAAGGAGTCTCCAGTCCCCTACTTCTTCCTGACATGGGCAGCCCCCGTGCCGCACTGCTACGCCCCCATGGAGTGCATGATGATAGTCCGCGAACTCCAGCAGCTCCACATGGACATGGGTGCTCCGGACATACCTTACAACTTCATGATAGGTGACGACGGGCAGGTCTACGAGGGTCGTGGGTGGTTGAACAGCTGCCCAGTACATCCCAAGTTCGCCGACAGAGAAGGTCATGCTTTAGTGTTCGCGTACATCGGGAAGAAGATTTGGAAAAAGGGTAAGTTTTATGGTTGGATATATGTTTGTGTCTCCGTGTGGAGGAAATTTGTAAAATTAGGTCGGGGACTAAGTTGGTATTGCGACAGATTTAAAACACCATAAGAATGACATAATATGTCTTATTGATATGTGTGCTAGAGTGACCTAAATGCTGTCTTATGTTCCTTGGAGGAATAACAGGAAATATGTTAAAGTAAGTACAAAACACAATCTAGCATTAATGTGGCTTTAAATTTTTTTAAGGTCCTTTACTGAAAATTTGGTAATTTATTCGATTTACCATTGTTTGTTGTTAAAGAGTTTCGATCATCGTTTCTCGCAATTTAGTCAGGGTTATTTACTATGGGCCACCTGAACATGCCCCGATATGTAGACTTTCAGTTAAAAAGTTAACCTAGTTTTGAGAATGTGTGCACCTTTTAACATTATAATACTCTTATAAAGAAATTCCTCAAAATCCTGTAATATTTAAAATAACTGTCCCAATATTTACATTCCAGTACCAAATGAAGACACAGATCCCTGGATGATGGACGACTTCGAGGACTACAAAGGTGCTTACGAAATAATGAACTACGGGGTTGACAACAACTACTTAGACGTTGAAAGGTACTTGACAGGCTACCGTTGGGAGCCTGAGGACTGGAACACTTATGGGGGCAAGCTCAAACCGCTTCAACTTGGTAAGATTTAGAAATAGTCATCAAAGAGGTACTATATAGTCTGTATAATGAACCTGTCTCCTGATCCTCTGTCTACCTGAGGACTGGCCAATGATCCTAGGCCCAGGAAATTCCCAGGTAGACGAAGGGTCAAGGGACAGGTTCCATAATACAGACTATAGGTGAGCATCCACTGTCAAAGAAGATTATCGAATCTAGATCTTATAAAGGTAATCAAATCGTTGAACTGACGATGATAGTAGCCGACGTGTCAGAAGTGGTACAAAAATCTTCGGGGCAAAACACAACTACCTGAAGCGTGGAAATTTTGTATCATAGCATAGCATTTAACGGACTTGAATATCGCACGAAGACCCAAGATTTCATATATCTTATTCACGGTAGGGATAACAGTTAAATACAAAGGGACATTGGCAGGCTCTAGTTGGTAGGCCTATTTAGAGAATTGGAGCACTTGGTGAATTTTAAATGTTTGACTATGGTAAACTTTGGAAGTGAAAGTCTATAGTCTCCATTACTACCGATCGGCCTTTGTCATGGTAATAATAGTAATAACAAAGATGTAAACATATGCATTGTGCAAATGCTACTTTATGAGTTAGTGCAACAGCTGTTGCCGTAGGCCAGGATGGCCGGGATTGTGCACCCGCAGCATTGTATTATAGGAAAACCACTTTAAAATTTAGACAAATTTTAGACACACGACTAATTAATTGATTCCGATATGGGTTATAGGACTGTAAAATGTGTGTTTCTTAATTTGTTTTAGTTTATATGTCATTTTAGCTCTTGTAAAATTTATTCCATGGCCTACATTACAAGCGTTATGCTACGATCAACGTTTTTTCAAGTGCAAAAAAAATGTTTTCCAGCACTGTAGAACCATAGAATGTGACGGGAAGGAGTATTTAAACTCATTCTGTTATTAGATAGTTTTACTTCAGTGTTTACATAATATATATTCTTTGTTTCTAGACGAAAATATACTGAATAAACCAGAAGATGATTATGAACCTGACTAAGCAGCTACATAGAAGAAAGATAACTAGAAACACCATTAAAACTTATGTTAGTTATAATTTTGCAACAAATAAAGCATGTAGTTATTAGTATTTGTTATTTTACATTATTTCCACAAACCTTTGACTTTTTTATGTACGTTTTAAATACTCCCATTTAATATCAATCTACCTATGTGTATGTACTAGTGCTACCTACTTTTAAATTGAAGAGTTATTTTGTTGCCTATTATCACACACTTTTCTGACAATTTTGATTATTTCCTCAAGACCTATTCTAGTTTTCTGGTCAGCCAAAAATCCTTTAAATTATGAGAGCCATCAAAATAATATACCAGTCTTTATGTAGAAACTTTGTCTATCTTAAAGCTTAAATTGTATTAGAGTTTGGTGTAGTTTTAAAATCATAAACTTCAAATGACGGATTTATTTTAACTATACATACTTTCTAAAAATTTGAGCTGGAATAAAAAGAACTTATTTGGTTTTATAAAGTAGTAAATAGATAAACATGAAAGTTCACATTTATTAATACCCTACAACACAACCTAATATATGTTCCAATCTATTAAATATCTTTCTACCTCCAATTTATGTGTAGTCAGTCTTTCTCGTTGGCAAAACCGTATAATATACTGAGCTTGTTCAAAGTCCTTCACGTATCCCTCTGAAAACAAATACAGTAAACATGGTAATATTGATGTAACGGTGAAGGGCGGTAAGAGGATTAATAATTAGTTGTAAATTGTTCTTACAAATACATGGTTACTCTAATTTCCAATTTTGATAGTCATATTACACAATTTTAAAAGTTAACCAACATAAACATAATAATGTTTAAGTTTTTATTATGTTTGTGTATACATCCACAACACGAATAATTCTGTTTTCGGAAATTAACTTTACTACGTGTCTAACTATCTTACTTAACATTGCTTATCATAAAAATATGCAGAAAGTGGGTTTTGGTTACTCGTTAGTTTTGTTTATATTGCAAATTGTATTATTTTTGTAAACTTCTTAGTAAGTTTGCTTTATTCGGATTAAACTACTTACTCAAGATAGTGTGTTATAAGTTTTACTGTTAGCTAGATTGCATTCAAAATAACCCAAAATTCTGTTTAGCGAAGGAAAGTCTTTAATGCAGAAACATATTTTTCCTAAGAGAACTACCACTTTTTTCAGATAGGTAAATAATTGACAATATTTTGAGTCCAAACCTACAGTATTGTTAATCTAACAACTAAATTTGTTAGCCTACTTATCAGTAGCCTACTTAAAAAGGCTTCTTCTGTTCAGGCTTAAGTTAACCAGCAAATATAATTCTAAAAGATGCCAACTATTTCTTTAGGGGAAATCTATTATTTATATCAACATTCAGGTAATTAGTCCAGTCAATGAATGATCCAAAAGTAGGTGTAGAGTGCGTGAGCAGGTAACTAAGCGATTCCTTCAGAAACTTGTTCAGGGGGCTTAGGGTGTTAACATACCAAAAGTCCTGACTCCTAGGTGGTGAGCCAGTGGGTGGAGGGGGGAAAAAAGTACGCATTTTGGGTTTTTTGATTATATCTTGAAAACTATCAACTTTTTGTATACTATAGTACATTATAAAATTGAAGAAGATTAAATTTTCTACAAGAAAAGTATATAATGTGTTTATTTTGGTTCAAACAGATTACGAGTTATAACTTATTTAATTGATATCTTATTAAAATACTCCTTCCATAAGAAATACATGTAAATTAGTATGCGAAATGGGGCGAATCCTATCCGCCCAAAGGAAATATAACTGATATTCTGGAAATATTGACAAAATATCCAGTAATTTGACACTTTAATCATGAAATTTTGTCAAAAATTAAATCGAGGGTGAGCGTTTAAAAATGGGATGATTTAAGGTTTTTTTTATATTTCCAATAAAAAAACACCAAAACTCGAAATTTTGTTACCTCGCCCTCGTCTTAATTTTGGATCAATTTTAATGATTAAAGTGTCAAATTACTGGAAATTTTGTCAAAATTTCCTGAATATAATTTATATTTCATTTGGGCGGATAGGATTTGCCCCATTTCGCATACTCATTTACATGTATTTCTTATGGAAGAAGATTTTAATAAGATATCAATTAAATAAGTTATAACTCGTAATCTGTTGAACCAAAATAAACACATTATATACTTTTCTTGTAGAAAATTTAATCTTCTTCAATTTTATAATTTACTATAGTATACAAAAAGTTGATAGTTTTCGAGATATAATCAAAAAACCCAAAATGCGTACCTTTTTCCCCCCTCCACCCCCTGGCTCACCACCTAGGAGTCAGGACTTTTGGTATGTTAACACCCTAAGCCCCCTGAACAAGTTTCTGAAGGAATCGCTTAGTTACCTGCTCACGCACTCTACACCTCATTCCTTGACTGGACTAAATGTGATTATTTCTTTGTGTTCTTTATGTTTAAAATATTCTTTTACTAAGAATATATTTCAAAGAGTATCTACCTGTCAAAGGACCTATCCGAGCAAACACTAGAGTTCTGTTACGGTTATCTGCATGTTCAGGAGGAACAACAGGAGCTCTTGTCCATCCTCTTCCTACATAAGTGTTACCATCTCCTCCTAGGATAAAACTGTATTTTATTGAGCGGAGCGAGCGAAGCGAGCGAAGCTCTTTGGGATCAACTTCAATGCAAACAATATAACACCATCACTCAATAACGGCTGAACACATTTCAGCCAAACTTAACAAGACTACTTAGACTAATAATGAGATGGTTTGTAAACAAACAAATTTCAATTAGATAATGCTAATGCAATTTAAAACGAACTTAAAATTTCCAATTTTTAACATTAGGCTTATGGGACTAAAGTAGCTATGACAGTTTTTTTGTTTACAAGAAAAATGTAAACAAGAGAATCATAAGGTATTTCTGAACTTTCTATACTTTTTTTTAAAACGATTTTAAACCATTCCTATGATTTTAATAAACAAGAAAATGCCGTTAAAACATTTTTTTTAAGGCACGGAACTCACTGAAAATCGAGAAAATATACGGAACTACTTTCTCAATGCGCGGAGCATAAACAAGGAGCGGAGGGATACGGACCGGTGACTACTTTCTTGGGAACCTATTTGTGTTGCCAGCTGATTAGAAACAGCCAATGTTAGAAATCAGGATTTAATAAGCGATATATCGAACCGCATCGAAATCGGTATTTAATCCGATAATACCTCATAGGTTATATTATGTTGAATTACATCGACGGTACAGTAAGTTATTACACTTATTGATAAAACGCAGATTGAACACTGATTTAGGCATGTGGGGAGGTAGGTCGGGGTTTATGAGTATTCGTGACTACATTAAGTGTTTTGAAGTAAGGTTAGATTAGGAAGGTATAGTGTAGGTTATAGGTAGGCGATCGGGTTGTTTATTTGTGTTGCACCATATAATTTTTATCTTTTGGAATGGAATAGTTGGTTAAGGTTAAACGGGGAAACGATTTCAAAAATGCTTGCATATGGTCTTAACTTAACAAACCATCTACAGTATTCTAGCTTTGACTTTATATAAAGTCAATGATTCTAGCAAATTATTACATACTGACCAAAAGAAAAGAGAACATTTGGATTTGTACCTTTGACCATAGCAAAACTAACATATAATTATGGAATGTGAAAAGTTGTATATCATTATATACTATTCTGTAATATTAATAATTGTTCGGCAAATCCTCATTTTAATGGCTCGGCTGAAAATGGAATCTGCATTTTGTGAAACAGTAATTTGGTAACAATTCAGTCATTTCAAATGTCGATAACAGTAGCCTATCCTATATAAATACTGTTATTTGATTGCCAAGCCACGGACTATACATACGTCCAGTTACAACCGTTGATAAGTAAACCTGGGCTTATAGAAGTACACTTTTAACCACGGTATGGATAATTGTCTAGGCCTGTCCAGAAGTAGGCTACTAATTTCTAATTATATTATCTACATTGTATATTTAAGGCATGTCTTCCCTACTTTATATTATTCTGTTTTAACTTAAATCAGCTGAATGCGATGTTTACTTATTACTTATGTTTATGCCTACATTTCAGCCATCTTATTTTATTGTTCAATAAGTAAGACTTTTTGCAGTTTTTACGTTTTTAAACATTGAAATACATGACTGATAATTCAGTTTATTATAGTCTTTTAAAGGCGTTTTGCATTTGAGTCTTACATTAAAATAGCCCTACATTTTTAGTAGGCCTATGTTTTATCTTTGACTATCAATACAACTAGACATTCCATCCCCATGTTGAATTTGTAGCCAGCATTTTCATCAAAATCTACTGTATTCAATGGCCAATGGTATTATTAAGGCCAGTATTAAAATGCCGCTAAATCGTCCTAATAATGGCAGAAGACCTACATTCCAGTTACATTACAAACATATCCTCCATCAAGAATACTTGGTATTAACAATCATAAATTATTTCCAGCAAAGAAAGCTGAGTTTAACCTATGTTTATGCTGCACAGTTGAATTTAAATGTCACATTTCCTCTCCTGTTGTTATACAATACTCGTTTTTTAATAGGTACTGTTTTTTTATACTTAAATACTTTAACCAATTGTAAGGGTGAAAAATGAAGTCCAATGTTTTTGTTGTAGGCTACAGTTGAATTTGAATGTTAAATTTCCTTTCTCTTTTTTATACTTTAATGCCCTTTTTGGATGTTAATATCAGATTCCAACTACTGTAATATTTCCCTGGTCAAAACTACCATAATGCACTTCTCGAAGAGGTTAATTTGAATTATTATAATTTTAATCTTTAAAACCAGCATTAGTAAATAAATCTATTGACCTTTTTACATTTAGTTACTTATACAAATATCAAATCACGTTTGTTCCGCTCAACTGGCTTTCACCTCTCTGAAAGCAACCCTAGTATAAATACGAAACAATAGGTTCATGTATATAAATCATTGCAGATACTATACAGCAAATCTTCTGGGCAGAATTGCTTAAATCATCATCAACATCATGTTTTTTGCCATCCCAGATTCAAAAACTTGAATTGTATAAGATTTACCTTTTTCTTATCTTTACCTTGTAAAAAGACATATTTACTTAAAAATATATATTTTAGTGTTAGTAGTACGAAGATAAATTTAAGAAAACTCCTTAAGATGCCACACAAGGTGGAGAAACACATAGAGTGACACAAACATATTTCCAAAAAAAAAAATAATGGTTATATTAGAAAACCAATACGTGGTTACTCCAGTTTAGTTTATATTTGAATAGTAAAACTATACCATCAGTAAGACCACCCAAAATAAGACACTTAAAACAGTAAACCAACATACACAAATATCCATGAGTATTTCAACTGCATGATGAACGAACGCAATTATTGAAATGGTTAACATTGACAATAGCATTGACAATGAAAAATTCTGTGATTGGCGGATTCTAGAGTTCTACGTGAATAAATAAACTTCTAGAGCACAAATTTCCTAAATCGAACGCTTCTATGCAAATAATGACTCATACAAGTATATCCAAAGTCTTTCAGCCTAAACTAAATTAAAAGTAATCAACCTTAAGTAATTTAACATCCAAAATACCTGTAAGGTATGTCGAACTTCCCCTGATCCATATGGTATTGCTGCATCGTCCTCACCGCTTCCACACACTCTTCCCGGGTGTTACACGGTTCTTTGTCAGTGTAGGTGAAGATAATGTGAGAGATTATACCATCTAGTTTGTCGTTCTTGCCTTTGGGCAACTGAGCCCCCCAGGCAGCTCTGCTGATCAGGCGTGCCCTCTGGAGTAGGGTTTGTGAAACCTCTATCTCGTTCATTGAGGCCATTTGTCTTTAAGTGGCAAAGAATATTTGTTTTGGACAATGTAGCGTTCATTCAGCCGTACACATTTTTATCATTGAAGGCTGTAGCTGAAGATTCTATAAACATTAGTTAAAGGTTTCGATACATGTTTTACTTAAGAATATCATAATCTTGCTTCTTAACAGAATTATCAAGCTGAACAATGGTTTGATCATAGTAATACATGTATATCGCTTTTAATTTATCATACACATATATTTCACTTTCAATCTCTTGATAACGGTTAAATTATGTTTAACAGTTCCATCGGTGCGTAGTGCGACTTGTAATTCCACCGTTACCAATCAAATGGTCAGAAAATGTTTGATAAATCTTTGTGTTTCCGTAAACATATCAACTTTAGTCCAAATATAAATTGGGAATGATATAATTGAGATGTTTAAATATTAAACTGTGGTGAAAAGTTCACAAAATGCCAGTGTACACGGGAACGTTACCGGACCAAACGTTCGAGCTGATGGATCGAATAGTGAACAGAGATAAATGGCGTGCTGAGCCAATGATGAGGAAGGGGCTGAGGCTTCACACTCCTGTGCTGAACGTGCTGATGACCTACACAAACACAGATCCTTGCTACACACTTGGGGAGTGCTCCAAGGCTATGATGGACTTACAGCTGTACCACGTTCGCTACCACATCAGGGACGATATACCTTACAAGTGAGTAAATGGTATACATCGGGATTAGCTATTAGCATCTCAAGTTGCTATTTTGGTTACTTTTGAGACAGGAACGTTTCCTAGGTGCGTACCAGCATTGGTAAAATGCTAGAAGAGTGAAGTTTTGGGTGAGATGATCGTTACCATTTATTAAAAACCCAGTGATGAAGGTCAGCTGGGTCTAGTTTTAAACCATTAAATATCTACTGACTTTATTAACGCTTAAGTGCAATGTTAAGACCAATAATTATTACAGAATGCGAAAGTTTTGTATCAGCAATAACGGAGGAAATAATTGAATAACTATAATAATATTACTAATACACAAAAATAATTTTGAAACGCAACTTAAATCCATAGCTTGTCTGGATCTCGGACAATATTTTTTTACCTGTCCTGAGTTGTGTGTTTTTATCCGAAAAGTCCGTTTTTAAATAAAGAGTTTGTGATAAGCTAAGTTGATACTCATTACTGAGTTTTTTATCATTCTTAGATTATTAAAGAAGGTATATTCTAGATTGGCATCTGTCAAAACTTGATGTGCAGTTTTGTCCTTGGAGGTGACAACCGCATCTACTGCGGGCGGACCTGGCAGTGGGTGGTGCCGATGCCAGAAGAGTTCAGAAGGAAACATCGAGACACAATTGTCATCGCTAGGATCGGACGTCCGCAAGGTAAGGGAAGCTGTAAAGACGGGTGATAGGGACAGTCGTAGCCCCCACCCCAGAAATAGAGTAGTTGTACATCAACACCCGTCAGAAATGTAGGGTAGCTTGACACGTCTTCTAGAAAAATAAGGTTATATTAATATTCACAAGAGTAGAATCCCAGAACACATAGACCAATGACAATGGCAGTATACATACAGATACCTCACTCTCCACAGTCATATGCATATACAATAGATGAATCTACTACAATACAGTACCAAAACACAATACAAAAATATAGAACAGCAAATTTTACAAAATCTACAATTCAAACCTACGTTTGCACTCTTATTTATTTAATTTCTTCGTGTACTTTTTGATATTGCGTAGTTTTTAACCGACTTCCCCACTACCAACAAAAGGAGGAGGTTCTCAATTTGTTTGTGGCGATGTTTTTTTTTTCTATGTATGTTCACCAATTTCTCTGTGATTCTTTTACCGATCAGTGTGGTTCCACCACCAAAATAACCAGGAGAGTTTCTATTTGGTACCTTATATATTATGTTTAAGTATAATATTTGTTTCGGTGAAAAATTCTGAAAACCTTAAATATTCAACATTTATTTTGTTTACATTTGTGCAGATTGTTTACATTTGTGCAGAGAAGGCAATAAATAATAATAACATTCCTACAGCTGTTACTTGAAACCATTTAAATGAAGCTACAGACAATTCTTCTCATATTGATCAATAAACTATTTCTTGCCATGGAGCCTAAATGAATTACATTGAGAAAAGTGCATTTTGTTTTGGTTACTATAAAAAATGTATTTTAACGTTTTACCTGATTTGTGTATACAGTAATTCTGTTTTTAGTATTGAATATTCTGACTTACAAAAACATATATGTTTCAGTGAATAGCTGTATGATGTTGACAAATAAAGGTGTATTGTGAAAACCAAAGCATTCGTAAAACAGGTCTAAATATAAATTAAATGCAATTATTCCTTACACGACCTAAGAAGTGTGATAGTGCATAATCGTCAATTGTCTTAAAAATGTTAAATATTTTAATTACTAAACATGCATTTGCAGATGTGGAATGTTTATTGATATTCTCTACCCAGTTACTATATCATATCAATACTATTATGCTTGCTTCAGAAAGTCCTAGAGGAAGATGATTTGCAATTTCGACTAGGCTATATCTTGATCAAACAAAACCACCTACATGACTTACACCACTTTTAGCTGAACCAATCTTTCATATAATATTTTCCAAAGGTACTATACGTGTTAACGACCAATTTTCCACTTTTGAGAGATTTTTTTAGTGCTGGTAGCTGAGGAATAACTTTCATATTGTTGCAAAAGGCTTGAGACGTTACTGTATTTCTTTTTATAATGTAGAAGTACACCGATTGCAGGAAACGATGATGTCTGACATTTCAATGTATCTAGAAAAGACAATTAGTTGTTTTTCATTAGGCCTAATGTAATGGACAACTCTTTCTTTCTTAAGGAATATCTAAAAATGTTTATTTTCATACCCATTGATTATGTAACCTGAACAGGTGACTCAAGCAGTTTTAAAATAATGATTGTTCTGTGGAACTTTTGATTGTTTCAAACAGTTTTGCTTATCAAAAAACCTCAAGTAATTAATATATAAAAAATTAAACTGTCACTAAAAATCATGAAATAATTTATTTTCGTAAAAAAATACAACCGACTTCAAACGCTCTAAAAAGAATGAAATAATTTCAATAAAGTAAACTTTTGTATTAGGCAAGCTCACGTATTTCAAGTCGGCGCGGCTCAAACTGCAAATATGATTGAAATTAAATATTGTGTGTGTATTTTGAAAATCAATAAATTGTAGCTGGATAACATAAATATATAAAAAACATACTGAAATGTTTTGTTTATATATTAAAGGAAATATCTTCTTATATTTTATGTTTACTTCAGAATAATTAATCTATATGAATAGGAAAATAATTTAGTTTGATATTATGATAGGGAAAAGAAGCTAGTTTAGTATTAAAACGTTACTTTTCCAAGTTAGAAACATTTAAATGCGTTATTATCTTTTTAAAGATATTCGTTAATACCACTAGATGCCGATCTCTGATTACGGTAATAAAACAACACTTAACGCATAACTATGAAAAAAACATGCAGATTAACACCTTTAGTTATAGATAGTCACCTGCAATATGGACACCCTCTTTCAATTTTGTATCAAAAATCATCATAGAGCCGCGCCGACTTAAAATACGTGAGCTTGCCTAATACAAAAGTTTACTTTATTGAAATTATTTCATTCTTTTTAGAGCGTTTGAAGTCGGTTGTATTTTTTTACGAAAATAAATTATGTGTTTCGTATATATAGAACCTAGTTAGTGAAAATTAACGTATATGTATTAAATTACTGAAACATCTTATAGTGAAACTATGGGGTTGTACACTTCTAATCAAAGTATTTCGAAATTACTTTTTTGTCGATTAGGGTGGTTCGTAATATTAACTTCATTCCCTAATTACTGAAAAATCAACGTACAGTGTCTTATTATTTTTTTAAAGTCATCACTTTATAAAATAGTCAACGTTTATTTACAAAATTCATAATTAAATGTGAACACATTCCTTTTTTACAGAGGACCCTAAACAGCAAGAGAAAGACTTCTTGGCCGGCCACGATCTGTGTGAGTGGGCGGAAGAGTTAGGACTTCTAACTAAAGGTTATAACGTTCGTATGATTCCGAACGACTGGAACGTCTATGAAAATGAGGACCCAGACTGAGTATTCACTGATATTAGAAATATATGTCCACTAATCAGTTTTAAAATACATTTTGTATACATTATTAATAATAACCAGCATTTTAAATAATAATGTTATTCTAGTATTATTTGGATGGTTAAGTTTTTGTTGACACCCCTCTCGTTTATGTTACAAGAAATTGGCTTGGAGGTTTGAATGCCTTAACCTGCTATACTTATACTAAAGTTATCATCCTTACTTGTGTAGAGGACAGTATTCAATGGGTTAAACGATTGTTTAATTCATTCGTTTACATTTATACTGCACTATTTGTCAACAAAACTATGAAAACTATCACTGTAAACAGTTTTCAATACAAAATATACATTTGATCACTGAAAAGAAATGTAAACATTCAGGAATCCGTTTAATACAGTTAGCAGTCATTGATTTAAACCGTTGATGTTACGGTTAGCGAAACATTGGCAAACAGAGAGGACACACAACATAAACACTAATGTTTGTTGTCAATTTAGCTTAAATGCTCTACGACCCGTCTGGCGTCATTTATTGCTATTCTGCCAACATTTATGTCCGTCAACATGTTACACAAATGCGCAGCAGAGTCCATTAGAACATGTTTGTGTTTAAACATATTTTGCAGCATTTAGGGATACATTTGTGATGCAGTAAAACGCTTCCCTTCTGACTTCGAGTTATTGAAGAATTAAGATTCTGTTTGCAAAGAATGACGATTTCTTTTTTATGATATTTTTATTGTTGTGTCAATTAATTTTAAAAACTGTAATACCATAAAAAATATTTATCTTTGATAACAATTAGCAGTCTTGTAAAACTGTACAAACCAAAATATTTGTTTTATAAGGTTTTAAAAATTTAGATTACCTGCATGGTTAAATATACTAAAGTAATGTAAAATTGATAAGTCGTAGTTAAAAATACTTCAAGGAATGCTGTATGATTTTACTGCCTTTATAAAGGAGAGGAAGTAACAGTAAACATATCTCTCAGCCAAAACCCATTATGATCCAACTTTTTAGCATAATAAATATCAGTTAATGATATTTGGTAAAATTTAGGTTGTATGGGTTCTACAATATTTCAAAAGAAGTTTAAAAAAACATGGAAATGCAATTAATTTTAAATTTTTTTAAAAGACGTGAAAATAAGCAATTTAGACAAGTCAATAATTAGAAACTGTTGCTCATATTTAAAATACACCGTAGCGTAGGTGACAATATACATAAATCTATAGTAAGATCCTACCTTTACTCTTGGAATATAACAGAGAATTCCATGACACGATAACAGTAATTTAAACATCATTGCACGTCATTCAGGTAAACATCATCTATCAAGGAGGATGTATTAGACGTTCTTCAAGAGGTTGGTAATCGCTAGAGTAGGGAGGGAAACTCATTACAGAAAGGTAATTACCACTTTCTGTGTTTTCTTATAAGAAATTTCCTTAGAAAACATTCTTACTTTCACAATACTGTTTTTTGTAACACAATTCATCTACAGTCTTTTGCACTAAAATGGAATTTTTAAATTTGGGGTTTAGTACAATAATTACCAAAACGATTGTTAGTGAATTTTACCAACAAAGTAAACAAACCCACACAATTTCCAGACAATGGGGTTTAGTACAATAATTACCAAAACGATTGTTAGTGAATTTTACCAACAAAGTAAACAAACCCACACAATTTCCAGACAATGGGGTTTAGTACAATAATTACCAAAACGATTGTTAGTGAATTTTACCAACAAAGTAAACAAACCCACACAATTTCCAGACAATGAAGTTAAATTAAATATACATAGTTTTGTGATAAAATAAAAATATACTAAGAATATTAATATCAAGCTTACGAAAATGAATCACCTTAAACGCAAATGTTTACCAACAAACGAAAATGGTTTTGTATTTTGATGTGATTTAACAGATTTTTTATAAAATCAACTACTGGTATGCAGACAACACTTTTAGTCAGAATAAGATTTTAATGTTTCTTCAAACTGTAGTTCAGAGTTGTTGCTATGATCAACGGCATTTACAGCCAAAAATTGCATAATTTGAAACTAAAGTTTTGAGCAGCATGAGTAACAAAGAAAAGAACTACAATAAAGGAATGTTTAGTTATTTCTATATCTATTTACTGTAAAAATTAACAATATAATCTAATATCCTTCCTTGTTCCTTAGTTAGTCCTCGTAGCAAGCAGTGTAAATATTACCTCTGTAAGCTCGTTAGGACAGAAATGACGTTTCCTCATGTGAATATTGCAAGAATAAAGTTGTTAGTTTTTAGCTGCGACAGTTTTTTTTAAGTAGACGTTTCAGTTCTGTTCATAGAATTGAAAAGATTTACTTAACAGCAATGATTTTTTCTTTTCTTTCTTAACAGCACGGGTAACGGACCAATGAAGTTCAAGGATTTAGAGGAAAGAAGTAAAATTGTAATGCTTCGAACTTCAACTAATCAGATGTTAAGACCATGAGTGGTCCAATTAGTGGTTGGAACAATGATTCGTTGCATCACTCTCAGTGGCAATGAGAGGTTATACACGAAAACATGACCTCTCTTAGAAGTTATGAGTAGTGATTGTTAGTTATAACACTGTCGTAGGTAAAGTAGTGTACGCAGCTTGCGTAACAAAACTTTACGTGATTGTTGCGTAAACTACTTACTATACCAGTATGCATCTTGTCATTATGTATGTAAGCAGCGTAAGTTAATTCCAAAAGGGTCCATAGGAGATTATTAGAACGTTAGAATACTTTAGATGTGTTTCTTTCATTTAGTGTTCAACCACAATTGCTCATAGGGAAATGCTAGTGATAACTATATTAACCATATCCATAGTTAAAGCGCAAAGAATAAGCGACAAGGTCCCAACCTATTGTCACTGAAAAAGGTTTTGTAAAGACTCTAATAACCCCTTAGTCTTTATCCTAATATGCCTTCTCGGTAACTCAATCCGGCATCGTGATATCCTGAGATCCTGGCGGTCCTGGTCCGACAAAGGGCTCTTCCGACCCTCCACAGCCCACCCTAGTACCACCATATGGTTAATTGTGGTATACACACAACCACTTAAATTATTAGAGTGGAGGGTTTAGTGAAATAAACCGTCGTTTACAGTTAAAACTAGCATTAATCAAGATCAACTAGTTTTACATTATTGTTGGTGTTATTGTTGTTGGTGTACAAACTAACTTTGGGAAATGGTAACATCAGTAGTAGGTGAAATCAAAGAGAAAATCTAATGTTTTTATCTGCCTATTTGCATTTTTACATAAACATTTTGTCTCTAAATTTTTATTTTCGATCTTTATAAAACTTGAAACTTTTTCAGGTTCAAGTGTTGGATTGATTAGGGCAATGAGTTTAGGATAGTTTAGATTTAGTGACTTGAGTTAGTTTGAAAGTCATGTATCATGAAACTCGCTCGTAAATAAAGGAATTTTTAATTATATATTTATTATTTATTGGTATGTTTATGTAAAATCAATAATTAATTTAAATTTAAAAAATATAAGGATCGCCATTTTTTTTTTATAGTTGGTCCAATTTTATTTTATTTTTAGGATAAGATCTGTCCTAAAAATAAAATTAACTTTGACCAACCAACAATTAAAATATGGTGATCCTTTTAATTTTTAAATTTAAATTAGTTAATTGATTTTCTAAAAACATGCCAAGAACACTTTTAATTAGCATTTAGAATTTTTTATCAAATGACACCGAGCTCAAAAATATCAAATGAAAATAACTGAAATATTAAGATTTTTAGTTGTAAAATAGGTCAAAATATGATGCAGCCTGATACGTCTAATATGTATAAGTCCACTTTCGATTAATCTGCTCATACACGATATAGTTGCTTGACCTATACTAGTATATTTTAAGTGCATCATGACATCCATTTGCACGCGAAACATTAAGCAACATGAGAAGCTAATGTACGGAGTAGCTGTGAATAATTCAAAGTGCTAGGACAGCTTTGACAGTCTCTTTGGAGCTTTGATCAACTATTGAACACTCTGGATGGCCTGTTGTCACCTGCTATCTACAACACCTTCTGTCATTCAAGGTTCAACTTAATATCCGTAATGTTACTCAATTTCTTGTTACTAACTATGGTGTTGGCTTATGGTCATTTGGGAGCGAGTAGGTATAGCACGGGAAGCTTGTCACTGAGGTCCTGGGTTCAATTCCCACCAAACACTAATGGGCTTTATCTAATTTTTAATGTCACGATTGTGTCTAGCCTAAGGTTATGTGAAAATCGGGTCTGGTTTAGAGCCTAGGATGTGTCATAAGTCCGAAGTCCAATGAAGTTTGGATATAGAATAAGAATTACTTTGTTACAGCAATGCACTTTTTGTACGGATGAGGTCTTTTATCGAATTTTTACTGACTAAAATAAGCTTCAAGAAGAACTGGTAATATTGGAATTAATATAAATTTGAAATAAAAACTTCACCAATATTTCTAAATTTTTAATTTCATGAGGCCTTTAGCCAGCTATGCATCATCAGACACATCACAAAACTTAAGGTTATGTTTATATTTAAAAATACAATTATAAATTTTAAAGAATGTTTAAATAAATTGTAAAGAATGAATTTAGAATTTAGTAATGTAACATTTTGAATTGGACCATTATCATTATTTACCAAATTGTCCATTTTATTTATAAATAATGATTCTCATGCTTTTACTTCATTGGATTTTGTTATATTTTTTAGTAATTTAGTATTATTGATTGATATTGTGTGGTCCGTTTCTAAGCAATGTTTTGCTATTGCTGATTTTTCAGGGTTGTTGTGTGTTATGTGAGAAGTGTGTTCTTTGAATCTAGTAATTATTTCTTTTTGTTTTTCCAACATACTTCATCTCACAACTGTCACACTGAATTTGATAAATGCCAATTTGGTAAATAATGATAATGGTCCAATTCAAAATGTTACATTACTAAATTCTAAACTTACAAAGTTATAAGTTATTTCTACTTTATATTTAATTTGTATACATACATAATTTATTTTTGTAATTTTAGCTAAATGTACTTAACAGAATAA